GGGATGTGGGAGGGTAGGGGAGTGCTTGAACCTTATTCTCACTGAAATTGGCTCAAGGAGGGTTGTATGTTCTATTAACATACACACTGATTTGAATACAGCAATCTATCTGAACCTACAGGAAAGTAGGAAGAGAAGGGGATGAGGGGTGGGCTGACAGAAGGGAGGGCAGATTGAGGGAGGCAATAGTGAAAAGCAAAACACTTTTGAGGATGGACAGGATGAAAGGAGAGTAGGATAAATGGGGGGGGGGATAGGATGGAAAGAAATATACAGTAATCATAACTGAAAAAAATTCTTAAAAAAACTTTTTGTTTAAGTCCTATTTCTCAAGTATATAGGAAATGGAGTCAAGTTCATAAAAATAAAAGTCATTCCCACTTGATAAATGGTCAAAGGATATGAACAGGCAGTTTTCAGACAAAGAAATCAAAGCTATCTACAGTCATTTGAAAAAATGCTCTAAATTACTATTGATTAGAGAAATGCAAATTAAAACAATTCCGAGGTACCATCCCACACCTATAAGACTGGCTAACGTTACAGAAAAGGACAATGACAAATGTTGGAGGGGATGTGGGAAAATTGAGAAACTAATGCACTGTTGGTGGAGTTGTGAACTAATTCAGCCATTCTGGAGAACAATCTGGAACTATTCCCAAAGGGCTATAAAATTCTGCACACCCTCTGATCCAGCAATACCACTACTAGGTCTGTATCTCAAAGAGATTAAAAAAAAAAGGAAAAGGACTTATATGTACAAAAGTATTTATAGCAGCTTTTTTTTTCTGATGGTAAAGAATTGGAAATTGAGGGGCTACTTTATCAATTGGGAAATGGCTAAAACAAGTTGTGGCATGATTATGCAATACTATTATACTATAAGAAATGATGAGCAGAATGCTCTTAGAAAAACCTGGACTTAAAGGAACTGATGCAACGTGAAATGAGAAAAACTAGAACACTGTACTCAGAAACAGAAATATTAAATGATGATAAAGTGTGAATGACTTAGCTATTCTTAGCAATACAATAATCCAAGAAAATTCTGAAGGACTTATGAAAAATGCTATCCACCTCCAGAGAATGAACTGATAGAATCTGAATGCAGACTGAAGCATACTTTTTTTTACTTTATTTTTCTTCGGTGTTGGATTTTTTTTTTTATTACATGCACTAGTACGGAAATAAGATTTGCATAATTGCGCATGTATAACCTATATCAGGGCTGCACAACATAACAGCTCATGAGCCATAAGTGGTCCGCGAAAAATGTAGAGTTGCCAGTGCATACTCTCTGTCATGTGACGGTGGCAACCAACCATTGTCAGTCTGTCTCTAATCTAATCTATCTGCAGCCAAAGAAGTTTAGCCTATTTTAAATTCTGACCCCTACCTACTGCCAAGTTGTACAGGTCTGACCTATATCAAATTGCTTGTCTTTTCAAGGAGGGAGAAGGAAAGCGAGAGAGGGAGAATTTGAAACTCAAAATTTTAAAAATCATGTTAAAATTGTTTTTACATGTAATTGGGAAATAAAATATTAAACAAACAAAAAAAAAGCAAGCCTTGCTATGTTTGGTGTCCTCTGGAAAACCAAATGGTATAGACAAGAGGCCAAATGAAACCCTATTCCATCCTTACTAGGAAAGGCAGGCTACAGAATGTCTACTTTGTCATATATCACTGAATAAATTTAGACTCAAAGATATATCTGTGTTAAGGTAGTAACTCATTATGACTCAGGTCTCAGGTGGAATGAATTATTAGGCTCACCTCGGGTGAGTTTGACATAGTTTCTCTATCGCTCAGGTGCTGTGAACTAGACTCTCACAACCCAAAAAAAGCAATCTTTTGAGTTAGTCAAGCAGCAGCTATGCCACAAGTGGGGATTATAGCTGGGCTGAGAATTAGGAGGAGGAAAGAGGACTGGATTACATATGCAAAAAGGGCTCTCAATGATGCTAAACTTCTCCCTACCCTTCCAGATATCCTCCCCCCTCCAAAAGAAAAAAAAATCTTCATTTTAAAACACTTATTCTTTTGGAGATGCTATATAGTTGTAAAGCATTGAACCCTACAGTCTCTAAAAGAATCATAACGGAGAGTGACCTAATGGAGAGATTCATAGTGGGTGTTAAGTAGACTGCAACATCTTCCTAATTACAGCATGTGAAAGTGACAGATATAAGGAATTGGAAAAGGAAAGGGACTGGACATGAAGCAAAAGTATGAGGAATGTTGTTTTTGTTTGTCAATGTTTGTTTTGTTCTTAAAGACCAATGACATCTTAAGGGTGATGTCTTGGCTTGTGTGTGATTTGGATTTTAGTGAGGCAGAGCTGTGCAAACAGTCATCAGAGTCCAGTGGCAAGACAAAAGTCAAGATGACTGGCCTTTGGTGGAATGTTAGACCTAGAGGGAGGCCCCCAGAACCCTGGAGAATTACACACAATGACGTGATCATTATGATATCAACCTATCAGTGTTGGTGTCTTATCTCCTATTAAACTCCTCAAGGTGAAGTGTCTTATCTAAATGTTGTATCTTCGTCATTACCTAGAAGTGATCTAATCACAACACTGAGGGCTATGTTGGATTGCCTTATCACAACTTTGAAAAAGAGGAGGTAAATCTTAGTGGTGTGCCAGAAGCTGTCTCTACCCCTTACGCAAATCATACACTGAAATGCAAATAAGAATTTCAGGATTTCAGTAGAAAGCGGAATAAAAGAACCAGGATATATAAAGGACCTGTGTAGGGATACCCATTACTGTTTTTCCATGATGAAGCAGTCTATTTTGTCAGCTGATCTACAGCAGGAGTTCTTATCCTGAGGTCCATGAATCTATACTTAAAAATATTTTGATAATTTCTTTCAATGTAATTTCTTTCTTTTGCAATTTTATGTATTTTAAGCATGAAAAATATCATTCTGAGGGGTTCACAGGCTTCACCAGACTCCCACAGTGGTCCATAACACAAAAAAGGCTAAGAACATCTGCTCTATAGCAAACGATCAAGTGTAGAAATATGATTAACCTACCAAAAGCACATCTAGAAGCTAGCTCCTTTACCTGCCCTCTCGCTTCTACCTTTTAAATTATTTTACTAGAGACTGACCATTAACTCACCCTAAGCCATCTTTCTTGGTCTAACCTAGAAATGGCAGGACTTACTAATGGAGAAACACACCTCTCATTTCTACCCATTTTCTAATGACCTTAATGTTCTTTGTACTTCTTATCACTCAAGCTTTTAACATTTTGTATCAACTTGACACCAGTCAAGGTGCCATGCAGAATTTAAATTTTGGATACACTTTTCTGAAATCTTTTCTATTAAAATAGTTTGTACAAGTTATTAAGAAAAACAAAAGAATTATTATTAAAGGTATGATGTTCATAATAACAAAGTTTTTAAAAATTGATGTATGTAAGCAGATTTTGAAACTAAACAGATTGCAGACAGAAATAAAAAAGAAGAGTAATCTTTATTTAGTAATTTTTGATATTTAAAATACAACTTAGTTGTTCATCCACCAAAAAAAAGACAGAATCCTTAATATTCAAACAGTGCTTTGGAAGTCTGACTTTTCTAAGGACCAGACATGAAAACCTTTGTGTGCTAATACTTCCAAATAAAATCAGATAGAGTTCTACACACTAAAGGGCTGCAGAATTGGGCCCTGAGAAAACAGCACTGTCACAGTGCACTTCTATCATGGTCAAAACAAAATGTTTTGCTTTTATGATGTTTTCCATAAATTCTTTGTATTTAAAATTTCCATTTATACAGAGTGTTAGTTACAAAAAGGTATTACCTAGTAATCCAGTGGTACAGAAATGAATTATATTTCAAGTTTTGATATTTTCCTCTTTCAAAAAATAAAACATTAGGCTATCTTACACATGTGCACATGCGCTCACATACCCCCCCACACACACAACTCCCCCCTCCCCAAAACACACATTTTTGATCTGTGTAAGATGACAGAAACATATTTGGTAAGTTTCTCAAAATAACATATGTAACTGTTAACCAATTAAGCCTAAAAGGTATTTTTTTCATATACATTTTGCTAATACCTGCCATAGCTTTTGTCTAAAAGACTCAGGTAGTTTAAAAACCATGATATATTTCCTTTATTTCATCAATTAAACATGCCTATTTCCATGTGAGAAGGGAACCTATTAACATTCAAAAGATATGAGACATTTTGGAAGAACCAGATTAAGAAATTAGAAGGAATTTTTTATACAGGAAAATTTTAAAAGACAGATCAAATTTTGGATTAATGATGATAAAATCCACTTAGACGTTGAAAATGGAATGAAGCAAGTGCTTTTCTTTTGTGTGCAGAAACCAAAGTCTGCATCTTTTTACATAATATGCTTAAAGGAAAAAGAAAGTAAGAATGAAAGAAACCTTTCATTTTAAAAGTATAGAAACAGTAATTACAATGAACTTAAAATTTATCATACCAGTAATATAGTCTTCTTACAGTTTTTAAGGTGAGAATATTTAAAGAAGTTAACAAAAACAATTCCACAACACTAAATTACACTTTCTCAGGTCCACCTTTCCCTACCAAAATAGTTATAGGAATGTTTCTAAATCCCAAAGAATTTACATCACTATTAAATGAAAATTGCTTTTAAAATTTCATTTGCAATCATGACTGAACAAATTCAGTGGCCAATATTTCAAAGCATGAATTTTCTAAAAAACTCATCTAAGAATAAAACTAAAAACGGGTCAAACCAATTCTCATTTACTTTCTCCTTCCCATTTATTTAGATTTTCTTATCCTCTTGAATTGAAATGTTTATCACCTCAAAATCATGTTATTTATTCTAGGAAATGTAAAGCAAGTGTTTGGAAATGCTGTTTCAAATAAAGGCAAAAAAAAGTGTATATGAACATATATAGAAGTAAGTACATATATTAAGGCCCAAATATAGAAATCAATCCATTTGCAGCAAATTAGTAAACTGGATCTTTCAAATGCAAAGAGAGGTTTTATTCAGATTAAAAACATTCTGTTTAAAGTGACAACTTATTTTAATGTTGTTTTTCAATCTAATGAAAGCATTAAAAAAATAACTACGATTTTTTAAAGCACTGAATCAAGCTTTTCTCCACACTCTGGCAGACCCTGTCTGCCAATACAAAAGCTATAAATACATATTCATATTACAGAAATTGGCACGAGCATGATTTTTAAAACAGTATTGAATGTACTAACTGAGAGGTTAGGCTGTATTTTCAATTTCTTGTTTTGGCATAAAATTTAGCTATGAGAAGCTTTCTTTTACAATATTAAAGCATATATTTAATTATATTTTCATTGATTTACTAGATTTTTAGCAATATATAGTCTTAATTTAGGAAAATCTTCATGTGGCAGTTCACTTAAAAAAAGCATCTCCATTAATAAAAGAAAATGTTTTGAGAACAATAAAAAAAAACTATTTGCCTAATATTTTTAAACAAAAATGTAAGTTTTACCTTTTTGAATTTTTGATATTAAGATACAGTTTGCCTCCAAATATTTTTATATTTATACATAAAGCTTAATATCACTACCCTGCAAATTCAAAAACTCTGATCAGTACTCCTTCCATGTAAAAGTCATGCACGTATCTGAAAATACATTGGTTTTTCCAATCTTGTCATTACTTATTACTAATATTGTGGAGATCTAACCAAAACTTTTCTGTACCTTGTTAATCCTATTTAATACTCATTTTGCATAAGAATATTGTTTAAATATTAAACATTAATGTTCTTCTAATTGTTGACCCACAATAGAAATCCTTTTTGAACATTTATAGTAGTTCCCTACATTAGTGCCACAAATGAAACTTTATCTCAGTAGGATGGCTATTGTCAAGTTGTAGAACTTGACTTCTACACAGGATGCTTACAGAAGTGGTAGGATTTGATGTACTTTTATATGGTTTTAAATTTTAAACAAATTCACAAGTTTTACAATGCATTGAATAAATGCCAGATTAAGAAAGTAGGCCAAGGGGCGGGAGGGGATTTCCAGCTAATTTATTTTATACAATGTATTATTATGGAGTAGCCATCTTTGAAATTACATCAACTAAGGAATATAATCTGAATGACCAGAATTAAGCTATCAAAAATCTATATTCCACATCTATATTCCATGATAAGATGGCAATACACTAGTCATTTTTTAAAATATAAAATTTATATGGTATGTTCAATATAGACATAACTCAGTCTGAACTTTCTGGCCTAAGGGTTCAACTTGCGTCAACAAAAAGCATCAAGAATTAAGGCTGACGTGTTATTTTAAAAATCGTTTTACCTGGGCACTACAAGAGTTTAAGCCTTCTGTTTTACTTTCCTTTTAGACCACTTACTATGTAAGAAACTATAACAGAACATAGTTTCAATCTTAACAGTTAGCCATGTTTTTATGTTAGAGAAAGCATTAACTCAAATATATGAATTGCTGAATGTAGGTTTTCAAAGAGAAAAGGTGATGGAAAACAGACACGGAAATATTACACAAAATTGTAAGGACAATTGTGCATATTTCCAGATTTATTGATTATTGTATTCTAAAATCAAGAATTTTATTTTATAAATTAAAAATGCTTAAAAAGATTTAATAGCCAAAATTTTTTCTCATTACTTTATGGTTCACTTTGGAAAATTTTATATGGCACAAGATAGATTTTTTTTTTTAAAAAGTTCACACTTAAGTAAAAGTTACTTCATCAATAAACGTCATTTCTTAGGTTTTCAGTTATATCTAGCAACAAATCTTACAGCAAAAAATTTTCCCTGATCAGTAGAGCCATCTAGAATTTTTTAATGACATAACTACTATATTTTTAATTTCCAGAGAAGCAATTCCTATTTAGTATATTAACTCTGAAAAATTTTGCAAATGAAAACAAGTAATGGCTGATGGCAGGAGCAAAATGCCTATTTAAAAAAGGCACTATTAACCTCAACCCAAAGTATAGCACTATTTAACAGAAAATCATTTGGGAACCCTCATAAAAAGATGTTTGACAAAACCCTTTTTTATTTACAACCTCACTTGCTATTGAATAATCCAATTATTATTGTATTTGTAGCTAAATAGTATGTTTCAAGTCACAACATAATTTTAAATATAATTTAGTAAGTAAATTATTTCCATGTGTTCCAAGATTATTGTATGGATGAAAATATTTCTGTTAAATGGAATATGTCAAGCAGCATTTATATACATTTTCATACATTTCAAATGTATGTAAAACAGAAAGCACCATTCACAAAAATAGGCTGCAGGATGATATAAACCAGGTAGCCCAGTTTAGTCCATTATACATGTATCTTGGACCTTAAGTCTTTTAACACAAGCTAACTTGTATACTTCATTTCCCTCATTTTCCTTAGCAACAGAGGAAACAACTTGATGTCGAGGTGCATAATGTAGGGATGGTCATTTAAGCTGTAACATTTTGATGTAACAGAGAAGATATTCATGAAGCACCTGGAAAAATAGTTATGTTCTCCCCAAACTGAATATTGTCTCAACACCTCACTTTTGCAGGGTTCCCTTCAAATCTAGGAATGCACCAATCATAGGATACTGATCCCTTTATGGCATATTGAAATGATAGGAAATCATTCCTATTATAGGCTAACTTCAAATAAGGTGGAATGAAAACTCTATAGGAGAAAAACTGAGGTCAGAGACAATGAAAAATAAAGAAAAAAAAACTAGAGCACACAAAACACAGTTGTGGCTAGAATGATTTACCCCATTAAACATCATACCTGTTGTAACTATAGACAAGTGACACTCTCTGCAGTAAGGCCACTTCGGGCACTAAGAAACAAGCAACTATGAGAAGGTGAGAGAGGAGTAAATCAGATTATTCAACAATGTTGGAAAAAACCTGTGACTAGATCCTATCAGTTGGTCTGCAAATAGATTTTTAAAAAATTCTTATTTTAAGAGGTTATTGCCCACCCCCAAAAAGAGAGTAAATGTTATTATTTAGAAAACTATTGTCTATTTCTTTAATTGCTGAATGCCTCTTTGGCTAGTATTTGGAAGATATAGTCTTTAGTTCTAAACTTGACGCATTTTCTATCATTTTTATTTGCAAGCCACCTCCCCCTACTTTTTTCTGAACTGTGCTACTCTGACATATTTCTGAAATGAGCTCTGTATAGGAAATATCTGCACAAGGAGTCAATGTTGGGGAATATGAATATTTTGATATTTTTTTAAAAGTCGCTTTGCTATTTTTTTCCTTCAGTCTTCAAATTATTACTAACAGTTTCCAAAGACATATTCATAGCAGCTTGAAGCATGTCTTCTTCAGTCATATCGTCACCTATTAAGAAGTCAAATATAATACTTGGTTACTTCTTGACAATCATCAATTAAACAACAAACTCTTTAAAAGATATGCTTTTAGAGATCTAATCCATATTCAGTTATGTGAATTTTCTGTTTATTCACTTCCTAACATCTCATTGCCAAAAACTAGCTCAGTATTGTATCCAATTAAATCAAAGCTTATTCATCTAATAAAGTAAGGAATGTTAATGCATAATCTAATCTGAATTTTGAAATTGAGTATTGCTTTAACTCACCTATTTGAGACTCAATTTTCCCAATAGTAAAATGGAATTAATCTCCTTTCAACTATCTCTGTGGAAGGTTATAAACATGAATTCATTACTGTAACAAAACTTGCAATGAAATAGAATAAAATTTGCAAGTAAAAATACTAGAGAAAATAACATTTTTAAAGTTACAGGTGCATCTTCAAACATTTGCACATAAATTGAGGATACCATCTAGATAGCTAGTTTCTTTTTAAAAAGTTTCATTTCTACTGCTAGCATTAGGAATGCTTTAGATTCCTTGCCACCTAAAATCAGAGAATTATAAAAATTTATCCAAATTTATGCCAGAGACAAAAAATAAAAAAATAATGAGCACATTTTCTGGGGGATGATGAAGCAATTTTAAAAAAAACAAACAAACAAGAATCCTACTCAGATGCTTCACCGTGGCACAAAAGTGAATCTGAATTCTTAAAGGCTATGCCCATGAAGCCTAAGCTCTGACAAGTTCTACACCAAGGTGGAAAAGCTTTAAGTATGGGTCTGGCAACAAATACTGCTGTTAAAATATCAAACTAGTTAAGTTGGGAGAGTTTAATCACTGTCCATCAGACAATATATTTGTTGGCCATTGTGACCCATACAAGAGGTAAAACAAACAAAGCAATATATATGTGTTTCTTCCTTCAATCCCAAATAAAAGAAATGACAAAGAGCTCTACATTAGAGTGTCAAACATGATAACCAGATTAAAATATAATTGGGAAATGTTTAACAAAATAACTAAAAATGCAGTACAACATAATGTTAATCTGTGGTTTTCTGAGTCAACATGCAGTGATCATTTCTTTTGATACCACTGATACACACACACACACACACACACACACACACACACACACACACACACCCACACACACACACACCCCCCCACACACACACACCCCCACCCCCCAAGCTAACACAGTTGATCAGAAGGTAATAAAAACAAAAGTAATACCTGGATCAATTTCAAGTGCATCTGCACTTGTAGTTGACTTTTCATGTACATGTGGTATCTGTTCTGGCTGCTGTTGTCTGAAACATTTAAAGACCAAATGTGAATTAAAGAAAATACACCCCAATAATGAGTACTCCATGAAAGAAACTATTCCACAAAGAATTGTTTCAGGAGTTATAATCTTCACTGGTACAAACACTGGAACAGAAAGCAAAGAGCATTATTAGTTGATCACTTATTAACTCTTAAAATGTGGATGTGCCCTCCCCATCTTTAAGAAAACTGGACATGCAAAAAGCTGGTTGCATAAAACAGGTAAATTAGAAAGTGGTTATGCCACCTCCCATACCCCCTCGTTCACACCAAAATAACTCTTGACCTTTATTATGAACTCTGGTCCCGTGACCCATCCTTCTCCTCTCAATTCTCTCTCCCCAACACTGCCTTTCCTAAATTCCATCCACAGCCTATGGTCTGTCCCTTTAAAGTCTCACTAGCTACCACTTTACATTCTCTTGACCACCCCTTCCCACAAGTCCTTACCCATACTTGGTAAGGGATGCTGAATATTGCAGCAGACAACTTTAGCTGGGGTCTCACTGTTTTCTGACATTTCTATACTCCTCTCTCATTTCCCACAGCAACTATTCCCAACTTTTTCATCTCTCTTCTTTTCCCCCAACCCATAGTGTCTTAATACTTAAAAGCAGTAGGTTAAGCCTTTTTCAAAAATTTCACTGAGATTGAGGCCATGTGACATGAATTCCCTCAGCTCTTCAAAATTTCTCTTTATAGCTGCCCTCTCTTTTTCCCTTTCCTCTACTCATAGAACTCCTACTCCTCACAAAGGCTAATTTTTCTACCTTTGTCCTTGATCTCATTCTCTCCCATTTTTTCCAGGTCTTTGCTTTGGCAGTCATAACTTCTCTCATGCATCTTCCATTTCTTCATTGCCACTGATTCCTTCCATTTGCCTACATACATGGTTCAGGTCTCTAAACCTAAAAAAAAAAAAGTTTTCTCTTGACTCTTCTAGCCCCTCTAACTACCATCCTTTCTTTCTCTTCTAAGTTTTTGGGGAAAATTACCTCAAATTCTTCACTACCAATTTTTCCCTTAGCCCTTTCTTTAATAAGCCATCTGGCCCCATTCCTCTACTGAAAACGTTCCCTCAAACAACACCAGGGACCAATCCATTTTTTCAATCTTTATTCTCCCCAAACTTTGAGAAGCTTTTGCCACTTTTGAACAGCCTTCCCCCCAGGACACTTTGCCATCCACAAGCAAAATTCTTCTGGTTGTACTCCTATCTCCTAAATAGTTTTCTATCTCCTCATCCTCTTGACCTCTTAATTTGAATGGTCTCCAAAGTTCTGTCTTTGGCCCTTTTCCTCTTACTACAAAATCTCTTTTTCCTTTGGCAATTTCACACAAATGACTCCCATATTTCTAGCTCTATTCCCAATTTCTCTTTCAAGTTTCAGATCCACATCTGTCCTACCATAAGACATTTCCCCCGGATGTTCCACCAGTACCTAAAATTCAACATGTCCAAAACCAAGCTTATTCCTTCTAAACCTGCTCCTCTTTTTGACTTCACTATTTCATTTGTGGTACCATCTGATCTTGATGTTTATAGTCATGGATTTATCTTTGACACTTCTCTTCCTCAAATTTCAAACAGTTGCTGAGTTCTTTCCATTCCATTTCCCCAGTATCTTTTGAATCTGTCTTTCCTCACTATATTCACTATGATTACTTTAGTATGAACCCTCATTATTACTCATATCTATTCTCTCCTTTCAATCTTTTCTTTCTATCATTGCCAAAATAATATTCCTTTTGCATTTAAAGACCTCCTTAGCTTGGCATTCAAGGTTCTCCACAATCTAGTTCCAACCTACCTTTCCAGCTACTACTCTCTTTTCATGAATGCCACAGTCAGTAAATTTGTACTACATGCTTTCTCTCAGTCTTATTTTGCTCTCTCTTACCTCTTGTTCTTTGGCTCATGCCTGGGCTGGACACCCACTCCCATCTCTGCTTGTTGAAATTCTGCCCTTCAAGGCCCAACTCAGTTGCCTCTCTCTCCATGAAACCTCTGATCATTCCAGCTAGAAACAATCACTTCCTCCCTGAATCTCAAATAATGTTTTCATTGCATCCAACCCACATACTTACATATCCTAACTTTTGTTAAGATGATTTATGTTCTTGTTTAATTTCCCCCACTAGACTGTAGGCTCCTCAAGGGCAAGGACTTTGTCTCACTTCGTCTTTATATGCCCATCACCAAAAACAGAACCTTGAAGATATTAAGTTCAATAAATGTTTGTTGTCTTAATGAATAAGTAACTTTTCAGGACCACCTCAATTCAACTGACCCCAACAAACATTTATGAAGCATCTATGAAAGCATATAGTAAAAAAGTCCTTGTCTTTAAGGATATTACCTTCTACTGAGGTATACAACATGCACACAGGGATAAGATACGGTAATTTGAAGAACGACAGAGCATTAATAACTGGTGTGGTGGTGGAAATATTAGGGACAGCTTAGCAAAGAATATGACAGGGGCTATTCTTGTAGGAAAATAAGGACTTTGATAGGCGGAGATGAAAACTGGCAGTAGTATAATGGTTAGGGTACAAAATGGAGTCAGGAAGATCTGGATTCAAATCCTATCTCAGACACTTACTGACTATGACCATGGGCAAACCACTCAACTTCTCTGTGCCTTGGTTTGTTCATCTATAAAATGGGAGGGAGGTGGCTTCTCAGGTCCCTTCTAGCTTTAACTCTATGATCCTACGAAGAAGTAATGTGTTCCAGACAGAGTGGAAAATTGTGATGTCATATACAAGGACTAGCATGGCAGTCCAGTTTTCCTGGAACTTTTTCCCTACAGTTAGGAGCAAAAGAAATGCATAAAACATATAATACTCACAAGTATGCACTGACAAAGACTTAAACATGAAGAAGCAATTTTTATAACTATATTATACTCTTCTGTAGGACCCTTTTGTGAGACTGTAGAATCAGCATTTCACCTTTGTCTGAACCTAGAGTGCGTTAAATGACGTAATATAAAATAATCTGGAAAGGTACAATGGAGCCAGATTGTAGAGGGTCCTAAATAGTAAGCTGAGGGGTTTGTATTTTATTCTAGAGACAACAAGGTAAAGACAAATGAATATGGTGGGTTTTTTTTTTCCCAACCATGCATGACAGGTCAGATTCATGCCTTAGGAAAGATTCATTTTGTCAGTTCTATTTGGAAGATAGTTTGCAATGGAAAAAGACTAGAAGCAGGGACAATTAGGAACGACCTGAATTAGAGTGGTGGCGTTATGAGTGGACAAACAAGGACAGATAATAAAATGTTATAGATGAATTGATAAGATTTGGCAATTTTGTGGACATGAAGACAGAAAATGAGTCAGGGAAAAGAAAGAGTCAAAGGTTACCCTGAGATTCATGAACCTTGGAGGATGATAGTAATCTTGACAGAAATAAGGAAGTTTAGGGGAGTAGTTCTGGGAAGGAATCGGGGATAAGCAGTTTCATTTTATTTATTTATTCATTCATTTATTATTGATTGATTGATTGATTGGTGAGGCAATGGGGGTTAAGTAACTTGCCCAGGGTCACACAGCCAGTAAATGTCAAGTGTCTGAGGTCAGATTTGAACTCAAGTCCTACTGATCCAAAGCCAGAGCTCTATCCACTGCACCACCTAGCTGCCCCCAAGCAATTCCATTTCAGACAAGTGTGTTTAAGATGCCAATGGGATATTTAAGAGTAGATATTCTGTAGGCAAGTGGCTATGCTGGGAACTAGAGTTTAGGAGAGAAATTAATGTTGGACATCCAGATAGGTGTAGGACATTCAGATGTAGAAATAACTGCAGCCTTGGAAACTGAAGAGATCATGAAGGGACAGAGTATACAGGGGAAGAAAAGAGAACTTAGGACAGAATTTTGTTGAGACACCCAAACTTAGGGTTCAGGAGACAGATCAACCAGGAAAGAAAGCTGAAGAGTCAGGCAGATAAGAGTACTAGTAGAAAGCAATGTCTCAGAATCAAGGGAAGAATACCCAAGTGATCCACAGTGATCAACACTGTCAAAAGATGCAGAGAGGTTAATGACTGAGAAAAGTTCACTGGCCTTAGTAATTAAACAAAATCATTTGAAATCTTCAAGGAGAAAGTTTCATTAGAATAGTTAGGGTTAAAAGCCAGAAGTTAATGAGTTGTGAGGAAACAGAGACAATGATTCTCTATGATTCCTTTCATAAGGGAAGATACATCTGGGACAGCTTGAAGAAATGGCAAGATAAAAATGTTTTAAGGATTTAGACAAATCTGGTTATATTTACAGGCAGAGGGGAAGCCAATAGAAAAAACTGATAATGAGAGAGATGGAGGGAATGATTTGACTAAGTAAGCTACCAGAAGAGACAGGAGGGGCTAGGATCAAGGATAATATAGAAGGGCCAGCCTTGATAAGAAAGGTCACTTCTTCCTTAGAGACCAGAGCAGAGGAGAGAACAGGTGAAAATGTAGAGGTTTTAAGCTGCGGATGAAGAAGGTCAAGATGCATGGCCTGAGTTTTCTTAGGAAAATAGGAGATGATATCACCTGTTGGGATGGGAATGTCTTGGGGGGTCTTCAAGAGGAGGTTGGGAACAGTTATCTGGGGTATATGATAGTCAATTAGGGAAGAATAAAAGAATTTAAAATATTTCATTGCAACAGTAAGGACCTAATCAGTACTGTTATATGAGTATTTCCAGAGGTACTTAGTATATATAAGCTGGTTAACTATAATGCAAAGGATATAGTTAAAGGAAACTGAAGTAGACAAGTGAGAATGGATTAGGAGAACTGGGAGGAATGTTACAATGAAGACAGATAATGGATTGATAAGAGTAAGAGAGAGATGGAAAGACAAGAGATTATGATCAAAGAAGGTAACGTCACACCATCTAATGCATAAAGTAAGGCATATCTGTCTATTTTACAAAATGTAAATTAAAGTACATGCAAAATAAAAACTGTTAAGAAAAACTTCTGACCATCAACATGCATTATACTAGTAAAACTGTACTTTTAGAATATAAAATCTTAGAAGCCATGGTTTAAAAAAAAACCCAAGAAACATTGTTTTTTTACAAGAACAACGTAAAGGTTAACATATGCTAACTGAGCATACATTGCTATGTTGCTTACATTAGCAACATGCAAAATTTGGAAAAGTAGATTCTCAATTCAACTGATGACAGAGCAAAAATAATTTTTGTTTCTATAACATATAATCCTAGTTATTTAATTATTGCTAAGAAATCTTCAAATAGAAAGGAAATTACATGTAGCAGTATGTAGGAGAAGTAATATTTTATACAGATACAATTAGTCCAGTGACACTAACACTTGAGTTATCAGGAGATAACTCATTGAGGAACCTTAATTATATGGAACTTCCCCTTCCCCAAATGAGGAAACCTTAATACACTAATGAGTGGCCAAAATAGATGTTGCAAAGTCCATATACTAAAGCTATTGGTGTAGGAGCAAAATAATAAGAATAAGAAGAATCTAACATCTTAAAGAGTATCAATTTAGCAATGACTGCAGTAATTCTTAAAGAAAAGACTAAATTATATTCTATTTTAAAAGATGAGAATGTTGGTAGTACATTTTATAAATTTTTCTAAATGTCTAAGTTTTTAAAAAATTTCCATTGATAAAGATGATATACTTTAGTTATCTAAAAAATTCATGTAAGTGGAACAATTGGTCAACCCATTATATGATTTTAAATGGCCATAGAGAAGCACTAAAAATATCTGCTCTTGGGACAAATATATTCTCTAGTAAAAATGATCATTGGGTTTCTCAGGTCCCAGAAAAAGAGGCCTCGTTAAGTATACAAACAGTCATACTTCTATACATATGTCTTCCTCCCACAATCAAATTACCTACCTTCAAACAATGAGCTCTCTCTTAATGGCTTTTGGATCTATCAGTTCATTTATAGTATGATTAAATTTAAAGTATTACATATCCTTTAAATGCGTGATTTTTTAAATTCAACTTAAAAATAGTCATAAAAGTTGGGTTTTTGTTTTTTGTTTTTTGCTTTTTGTTGAGGCAATTGGGGTTAAGTGACTTGCCCAGGGTCACACAGCTAGTAAGTGTCAAGTGTCTGAGGTTGGATTTGAACTCAGGTCCTCCTGACTCCAAGGCCAGAGCTCTATCCACTGTGCCACCTAACTGCTCCTGTAAATAGTTATAAAAGTTTTAAGGAGAATCTTAAAAAACATCTATCCTTTTCAAAGGCTTATCTTTAGTGTCAGGGTAAAGAGGCAAAGGGTTGTGGTTTAAGTATTGAGTATTCAATAAGTTATAGTGATCTAAGGACATTTGTAATCATTTCGGTAAAAGATAGCTGAAACAAGATATAAACTTAAAGCCTTTTTTATTGACTAGTTACACACAAAGTAAATCAAATGGCAAAGAGTATTAAGTAACTATCTTCAACACTTTGTGTGTTATTTTCATAATGTTGCGATTATACTTGACTATCCTATATTTACACTCAGAAAATAGATATATGCATCCAGATTTGGCTTACCTGTTACCAGATGTATTAACTTTTGGGTCACTCACTGGTAGCATTCATTCAATTTTAACTACATTATAAAACATCTCATTTAAGAGTACCCAAAGAGCTAATAAATTCTCTTGAAAGTGCCTGATTCAGACTGTCATTAATAGGATTTGGCTAAACGTTAAGTTCCAATAATAAAGCTATAAATTTCTTGAGAGTGCTGTATTCTTTTTTTAAGCTAAGATTTTCAAATAAGTAGCTCTGAAAGTGGACATTTGGTTGTTGATAGCAAAAAGTGCAGAAATTTTTCAAAGAGAACAAACTTCTCTTCACTTATAAAAGGAAATACTCAAATATGAAAATATAGTGATTAAATGTACAAATGTTACTAAATTTTTAGGTTCACAAAGCAAAAATAAATTCACCACAGTAAATCCTTTACACTCAGCTATTTCCACAATAATTCTAATGAAAATAAAGATTTGTACAGGAAGATATCAGAAATGTCATTTTTATAGTCTTCTTTAGTAAAAGGCTAGTTAGTAGTTTTATTAAAATGATACTTAGCATATTCTGCCCTCAGTTATATTAGCACTACATGGGTCACAAAGATAGTCAACTTGCCCTCAATAAGTTTTTCAACGGGGCTGAAGAATCAGAGAAAGTTCTAGTGGATGGACTCAAATAATTGATATCTCCTTGTATTACTCACTTTCCAGCAATGCTGAATAAAAGTTTTTAAAAGCTCATTTACTAAAAGAATGACTTTCTGCACTTCAAGAATGTTTTTCTTAGAATACACTGACGATCTTTCTTCCCCCACCCTGTACCCCCAATACAAATACATCTTATTGGTCACTTAGTTTCACTTTGACCAAAAAGGTAATGTGAAACGAGAAATGTTATAGAAAGTTAGAGACTATGTATAAGGAACATTCACCACTGTACACAAGTAAAAAATCTAATATTCAGAGCAGTACCAGGTAACAACTTTTCTATCACAGATAGTTCTCCCATAAAAAACACACAAGAGTCAAACATAAGAAGTGAATTAGTTGTCTGCTGCCATGCCAATGAAAATAATAATATACTATTCACTTTCTTTATAATGATGATAGATGATATGTGAGTAAAATACTATTTTTAAAAAGTTAAAATTGTTAGCATCATGTATGTTTGTTTTCAGAATTATTTACCAAGTGCTAGAAAAAATTAAATGGGTCAGATTGTGCCACTGAATTCTGAGTCAGAGAATTCTGGATGATATCTATTAAAAACTTCATAACTTTTAAGATATGAGGATAGAATATTTAACAAATTTACACAACAATTGGCTGTTGGAAAAGAGGGGGACAATTTCAGAGGGTAATACAAATATTGGCCAATATACTGTAACCATGTCTGATATATTTAAAACTTAACAAAGTTATATATTTAAAAACAAATCTGATGTAAGACAGATTACAACTTAAATTTAAGGAGAATGACAGAGGATCAACATCATCACTGCATCTATTGCTGATAGCTAGCCTTTTCCAAAGTAGGGCAATAACCTCCAACATGAATTAAGGATAGTCCTCTGTGATCATTGAGAAAGGACTATTTTTTTTTTTGAAAGTCAGAGAATAATCAAAGATAATGGAGATTTCTTATTTGGAATTAAGATATGTGAAATAGGCAGGTCTACTTAGTATAGTAATGAAGCTATCAGCAAGAAAGTTCAAGAAGATGAACAGCTGAAGCAATCATCAATGTGCAATAATTCTGTGTATCAGACTAGGAAGAAGGAGAACAGTAAATAAATCGGGTCCAGAATTGAACTAGTAATTATCTCCTCTAAAATATTTTCTTTCTTTTTTTGTCTCTTACGCACAAAAGTGTTATAATTCACCACTACCAGGATGATGCATATTCCCCTGTTGGAATTGCCACCTTTGTTGCTTATCTTTCAATTTTCAGAGCTAAAAAATTTTAAAGTCTTTTTTTTTTCAGGCAGTCAATAAGAGGTATGCTCTAAGAAAGAGAGACAGGCAATATGCTTGATCTTACTATGTCATTTTCCCTTTAAGTAATGTGATCTAAAATATTTTCTTCATTCATCTCTATAATTTTATTTTATCTTGAGGGGAAAAAAAAACTTTCCCCAAAGGAACACATTTGACTTTATGAGAAGCCAATGGGAAAGCAGAATCCAATATATAGAAATAAGGAAATATACCTATATACAAGCCTAGTTGCATGTATATATGTATATATGAATGGCTAGATGTCAGTCTTTATCATGCAAACTGGAGGAATTCTTAAGTGAAAATATTTTTACTTTTTGTTTGTCAAAGTTGAACATTTAGAAATAGGCAAATTACAAAAATCACAAAACAAATTTTAAACATGCAGTTTTAATTCAGTATCAACTACTTTACTTTTCAAAGTAGGCTTCTCTTCTCTTTCGTAGTTCTTCTGAAGTAAGAGATGGTGGTGAAATTGTACCTGATGTCTGTGGAATATCTTCTGAAATATTTCTGGAACTACCTAAAATTTTTTTAAAATTTACTTTTCTATTCAATAATAAAAAGTTATATTTAAAGTAAAATAATTACATTAAGTTTTTAAACTGTTTATTTTTTTTTTACAAATAATTTGACTTTAAATGAGCTCCATTAATGATTTAAATCCAACTAAAGTTAATAAAAACCAAACTTTTTTACCCCCATTATACAGCTAATTGTATACCTGGTATAGAACTCTTAATCTAACAACTAGCATGAGAATAGAAGGGTCTGTAACAAAGCAGTATATGTGTATGTACACATATATTCATTATATATATATATATATATATGTGAATGCATATATCTGTATATGTGTGTGTACATATTTGTGTGTATGTGTGTGTATTTATAGGCAGCCCCCACTTTCAGATTCAATGCCTTCCTAGCAAGGAAGTAGAAGCCCATAGGGTAAACTCTTGATTGTTCAAATTATTTTTGGTTGTTTCTGTCAATTTGGATATCTACGGAAACAGTCAAATATAAAAAGGAAGTATACTTTTCATGATATAGCGTCAAATAATGGAAATATTACCATTACCAGATACCATTAAGCCAGTAGAGCATATATGTTGAATTATTGTCCAATAAGACCAAAATCTCTCTTGTGGACACAAACATTTGGAAAACAATTCATTGTAATTATAGCCACTGAAATGATCAAAACTGACTGGCCCTCATTAGACACTGCATCTATTAGAACAATTCCATTAAACAAAGTGCTACAGCAGAGTATAATCATTACTTACATATTTCAAATGATCTATCAGTGTGGGTTCTTCTTCTACCAACTTAGACTAGCTTCATGAACTGCTATGGCCAAAATAATTCATTACCTGATGATCTACTTTCTTATAACATATTTCTCCTGACTTAGTTTGGCTGGTACTTGGACCATAGATAGTCCATCACTAGTACACTACTAAAAGTCTTACTTTGATGCCTCAACAAAGTGTAGGCAAGCTTGGATTCTTGAAGATTATGCTGGCAGAATACAAGCTCTTTCCACCAAGCTGGAAAAGCTTTGAGTATGCGGCCTGGAAATCCTGTCAGACAAATATAAAACTAATCTGAACACCCATGAATAATTAAATTAGCTGTGGAGAACATTCTACACACATATATTAAGAGTATATTTTGAGAAGTCAGAAATGGCAGGAAATAATGCACACTGGCATCAAAATTAAACAACTTAAACCCATGCTACACTTCTTAAGCAGAAAGATTTCTGAAAGAGAAACAATGTGTATGCAAATTGGTACCTTGCATACTAAGTCGAATTGCTCTACGTAGATCTGCTTCTTCATCTTCCATATCAATTTCCTGTCGACTTAGTGCTAGCGCTCTTTGTAGATTCTCTTCATCTTCATCTAACATTCCTGTTCCATCGTATGAATGACTTACTTCTAAAGATTGCTCTAGGTCTGTTTTCTGTACTCTGGAAAACACAAAAATTCAGTCACCGAATTCTGAAAAACTACTCCATTCAGGTTCTACTATGAAGAAATGTTATAAAAAGCTTTTATTTAATTAAAAATGTAAGAAATTCAGAACTAGAAAGTTCTTATTAAGCAATAAGAAATATGTGCAAAAATATCAACTAAAAAAAATTTGACAAGCACCAAAATATCCCTAATGAACACTGATGCAAAAATGTTAAAATACTGTAAAGAGGTTACAACAAAATATTAAGATTATACACTATAACCAGGTTGGATTGCTACAAGGAATAAAGGATTGGCTTAATATAAAGAAAAATATAAACATAATGGTGCATATTAACAAAAATAATAATTAAAAACATGACTATAATGAGACAAAATCTAACACTCATTTCTGCTAAAAATGCTCGAGAGCACAGGAGTAAATGGATTTTTCCTTTATGTAGATAGCAGTATTTATCTAAAACCAAGACAACATTACATGTAATGGAGAAATATTATAGTCCTTTCCAATCAGATCAGAGCTAAAGCAAGAATGTCCAGTATTTACCACTACTATTTGCTATAGTTCTAGAAATGCTAGCTATAGCAATATAACAGGAGAAATTAAGGTACTAAGCATAAGAAAAGGAGAAACAAAACTAATTTATTTTTTTGGCACACAACATGATGATCTATCTAGAGAACCCAAAAGAACTGACTAAAAAATTCAAACTAATTTCAGCCAACTTGTAGGATATCAAATACACATATCTGGATTTTTCCATATTTCTGACAAAACTTGGAACAAAGCAATAGAGAAATTCCATTCAAAATGACTACAGAATATTTGAAACATTTGGGAGTCTATCTATCAAGATATACATAGGAACTATATGAATAAAACTACAAAGCACTTTTTACAGAAATAAAGACAAAGTAATTATCTCCAATAAGTAACTGGAGAAATAGTAATGGCTCATGATTACGAACATAATAAAAATGACGATACTGTCATTTCACTTATTTAATGCAGAACAAATCAAATTATCAAAAGATTACCTTACAGAGCCAGAAAAATAATGAAATTTATCTGGAGAAACAAAAAAGCCAAAAGTCTCAAAAGAAATAATATAAAATAAAAGTGACAAGGGGGCCAACCAGTATCAGAACTCAAACTATACTACAAAGCAGGAAGCATAAAATATTTGGCAACTCTAAAAACCACTCTATTTTTAACAAATACATTTTACCAAAATATAAATATGTCACTATTAGCAAAGAATTAGTGCATTTCTATAAGTCACTCAACATAATTTCTATAAGGACATCGTACTAGCACAAATGCTACCCTAGGTTTATCTAGGCATGGGTCATGATTGTTATAATTGTCATAATAGATCATAAGTTGTCTAGAGACTACAAACCAATCCATTTATATGGGAAAATTCTTATTCAAGTAACATGCTTCTTTACCTTTGATCTTTTAGTTGAGCTAATTCTTCTCCAATGAGTTTTGGTCTATGCATTTGTTGTACCCGAATCATCTGCAGGAGCTGGTCAGCTTCACAGTCTGGTAGATCACCCTTAACAACAAATATGGAATAACCTGAAGAAAAAAAAAAACAAGAACTACTGTAGATAGCTACATGTCCAAAGTATTTCAGAATAAGAGCTATAACTTGAGTAAGAAAGTCATATATTTTAACCTAAAGATCAGAATACAAAATATCATTTTACTACCTTTCTTATGAAGAGTAACATGAATAGTTGAAACCTGTAGGTAGCAGAGAAAGCTAAAGCAAATCCATTTTATCTGCAGTTCCTCTATCTTGCTCTGACTCCGTCTATACTGCAACTCCCAACCTGTCTGTGACCTTCCTTACTGTTGAAACAGCAAGAACAGTCCTATCTATTAGGGCATAGTTACAAGAGACAGCTAACCTGAAGAAGAGTTGTTTCTGTTACTAACCCCCAGGAACAGGCCTGATGCAATCAAAAGATACTACTTTCCCTAGTCCTACCCTGGGAACCCGCCCTAGCAACAGCCCAGTCAAATCCTGAGGTATCCCATACTCAATTCATCTACTGCCTAAATTGAAACCTATATAAGTTTTATCATTTTGTTCCTTCAGGGAATCTCTGCATGGATGGGGCTCCCTTGCTGGTGAACTCAACACACCCTTGTTGGTATCTGAATTTATGGTATTGGGTTTGAGTTACGGTTTTGGGGTTTTGGTTCTGGTACTGATTAGCTGTGGCACCAACAATTTTACCCACAAACCCAAACATCTGAAAGTCATGTATAAAATTTGGTAAGCACTACATTGAGAAATTCTTAGTTTTTCTTACCTTCTTGTTGTAACTGAGCCAAGAAAAGTGCAAGGTAAGTATCTGATATTAATTCTGGACCCGTCAAGAGAGAGTTTAGGTTAAACCACTGGAGAAAAAAAAATTGTGAGATATCTATATTAGCATGCAATACAGATTTTTAACAATATTGTATTTGTAAAGAACATATTTGATCTAGAAATAATTAGGCATTTCTAAATTACTAAAATCATTTCAAATGGAGACTTCAAAAAATTCAAGAAAACTGTGATTAAAGGAGACTGAAAAAAAATGTCATACCCCCATGTTACTATTACCATTTTTTAAAAGGGGTGGGGGTAGGTCCTAATAAAATTTACTCCATTACAATTTGATAGAAAATAGTCTAATCTGTACTTAGTTCTTAAGAATCTAGACTGACACTTCTATTATTCAAAGGTGTAAACAGAAAAAAAATCACAAAACCTAGGCACCTTGACAAAGATGACAGAAATAATAAGTCCAGCTGAAATTTAACAATGATCACATAGGTATGACTTTTAGTCACCATCAATGTGAGGCAAATGAATCATTAAGAGATGAAAATTTCCACATGCTCATGAACTACTATTTCTACCAGATTATATCTGAGTCTCTAAAAGCACTATTATCTTCAACTGAGGAATCCTACGGTGGAAAGAAGAGTTGAGTAGAAAAGAAGTATCAATTTTTTTGGCAAGGCAATTGGGGTTAAGTGACTTGCCCAGGGTCACATAGCTAGTGTCAAGTGTCTGGTCTGAGACTGGATTTGAACCTAGGTCTTCTTGACGCTAGGACCAGTGCTCTATCCACTGCGCCACCTAGCTGCCCCCAAGGAGTATCAATTTTAAATAAATATGGGAGCTAGCTAGGCCACAGAATCATAGATTCTCAGAGCTGGAAGGCCCCTAAAGAGGCTTTCCTAGCCTCCCTTGTTCTGAACACTATGTTCCAATTAATGTATCCTGAGACTGTATTAGCTTTTTTGTTTGCAATGTTGCACTGCTGACTTAATATTGTGTTTGCAATCTTCCTAAACCTACTTTTTTTTTTCACATGAACTCTCAATGAGTCATGTAGTGGAAGCTAGCCTCAGTTTCCTTATCTTTAAAACAAGGGGGTGGTGCTGGTGGTGGAAGTTATAACCCCTAAGATTCCTTCAAATTTTAAATCTATAATTCTATGTTCCCTTTTAGGCTTTAAAGTTCCTAAAGTACTTTACACAAATCTTGTTTGATTCTCATTTCCAGATGAAGAAACAGACCGAGAAAGGTTAATTGACTTCCCAGGGTCACAGAGTTAGTGTCTGGAGGCAGGATACAAACTTATTGCTTCCTAACTGTACTCTGTATTCCTAACTGTACTGTATTCATTACACTTGTCCGTAGGATATTATGAGACTTTGCTAAACACCCAGGAAATCCTGATATACTACATTTATTGCAGGTCTGCACAACCTGCGGCCCTAGGGATGTAAGTGGTCCACAGGCACGCCAAATGATTTCAGGCCGCCCAAAAACCTTTGGCAGGCCATAGGAATGCAGGCCTGATCTATTGTATTCTCTTGATATATCAATTTTTTTTTGGCTTTTTGGTGAGGCTATTGGGGTTAAGTGACTTGCCCAGGGTAAATATAGCTAGTAAGTGTCAAGTGTCTGAAGTCAGATTTGAACTCAGGTCCTCCTGACACCAAGGCCATTGATGTATCAATTTTAACCTGCATGGCATGGTCCCATAAGAATAATGTCAGGACTGCTAAAGCTCAGAATAAGATAAGGATGGCAAGGACTTCTTCGAAGAAAGGTTTTTGTTTGGTTTGGCTACACTGAGAAAAATCAAAATCAAAGAAGAGACAGGCCTATTAGAATGCATGGGATATGGGGGCAGCTAGGTGGTGCAGTAGATAGAGCACCGGCCCTGGATTCAGGAGGACCTGAGTTCAAATCCAGCCTCAGACACTTGACACTTACTAGCTGTGTGACCCTGGGCAAGTCACTTAACCCAACTGCCTAGCCAAAAAAAAAAAAGAATATATGGGATAATATTAAATGATAGCAAGAAGGCAGAAGAAATACTCAACTCAGAGTTTTCCCTTTGTTTTGCTAAGGAAAATAATCTTTGGATAGGAAAAGACAGAAGAAAAACCGACAATAATGAATTGAAAGCCAGGGAAGAGTAGGAAGAGAGCACCCTAGCCATTTTTGATTAGCTTGAGTCACCTGATCCAGAAGAACTGCCTCCCAAGGCACTGAAAGAACTAAGAACTGGCAGCTGTGTGACTGCTGAACCATTCTCAGTGATCTCTGAAAGATAATAGAGAACGGGAGAGTGCCCATACTGGAAAAGGACAAATGTGGTTCTGATTTTCAAAAAGTAAAAGAGTAAAATACCTTATTATAGACTTATGAGTTTGACTGATTCTTGGAAAAATTCTAGAATTAAAGAGATAGTTAGTGAAGATTGAGAAGAAGAAGCAGTTATCACAAGAGTCGGTAAGGCTTCAGCAAGTACAGGTCAGGTCTGATTAGCTTATTAACCTTATATAACAGGACAGACTAGTAAATCAGGGAGATGCTATATAATCTATCCAGATTTGTTTTTGTGGATGGGGGATACAGCCTTATAAGTATTTCTTACAGGAACTCAAATTTTCATTGTTTCCTTATTTTTCTCTCTTCCCTTCCATATTTTGCTTTCCCCTTTCTGTCTAGTGGCTCTCCTGACCTTTCACAAACTTAGACGCTTAAGTATTTATGCTGGTACAGAAGGCTTCTTTGCCCCAAATTACAGTATCATAGAATCAGAAATTTAAAGCTTGAAGAGATCTCAGAAGTCATTGAGTCTAACACCCTTATTCTACTGATGAAAAAAATGACGCTCCATAGAGGTTAGATTTGTCCATGTGGTTCACACAGGCAGTAAGTGGAAGAGCTGGGATTTGAACCCAAGTGTCTGATTCCAAATTCAGCACTCTTCCATAGTACCCTGAATGTCATATTTGGGACATTAGCAATCATCCAGTTTAACTCTGGTATAGTGAAGAAACAAGGCTTGAAGTCAGAGAAATCAGTTGAAATTCTGGTTCCATTATTTACTACCGTTGTGACCTTAAGCAAGTTACCTCTTCTAGGGGCCTTAATCTTCTCACCTGCCAAATGAGAGGGTGAGACTAGAGTATTTCTAAGGTCTTTTCTACCTCTAAGTCTATGAACCCCCTTTAAAAGTGAAAAAACCACAAGCCAGATGTGGGAAATAACTTTCCCCAGATCAGACTAGTCTGATCATTGTGGAAAATATGAAGAAATGTGTTAAAGACAAATGTATGGTAATGTGGATCCAGAACTGATTTTATGATCAGATACCAAAAATTAGTCATTAATGGTTTGTCAACTTGAAAGAAGGTCTCCAATGAAGTGCCTCAGTCCTGTGCTGCTTAGCATCAATGACTGGGAGAAAAGCAGAGATAGCATGTTTATCAAATGTGCAGATGCCAGCTAAGGATGAGTTAACATTTTAGAAGACAGAATCAGAATCCAAAAAAAACCTTAACAAGCTTTAAAGTTGGGTCAAAGCTAACAAAATGAAATTCAGCACCGATAAGGGTAAAGACCTCTAGGTGAGATCAAGACTGATTTCACAAGTATAAGATGGGAGAATTATAGCTAGATCATAGTCTATCTGTAAGACCAGAGGAATTCTGAAGAACCGTGAGTTGAGTATGAATCAATAGTGTGAGAAGGAAGCTATAAAAGCTAATGTGATCTGAGGCTACGTCGAGAAGTATAGTGTCTAGAAAGAAAGCGGTGGTAGTCCTGGCATACTCTATCCTGGCAGGACCAAATCTGGCACATGGTCTTTAGTTTTATGTATTATATGTGCCTGGCACATAGAAAGTACTTAATAAATGCTTCTTGATACTTCAGAAAGGTCATTAATAAATAGGAGAGGGTCCAAAGGACAGGGAAGAAGATAGGGAAGGTTTCTGATTATTCCATTATAAGACTTGGTTGAAGGAACTGGTGATGTCCCACTTGGAAAAGAGAAGGGGGGGAAGAAGGGAATCATGATAACTCTCTTCAAGTATCTGAGGGGTTGTCATATGTTAGAGGGATTAGACTTGTTACATCTAGCCACTGAAAATACAACTGGAAGCAATGGATGGATACTGAAGAGAGGCAGCTTTAGGCTCAATGTAAAGAAAAACTTCTTAATAATTTGAGCTATGAAAAAGTAGAATTGGCTGTCTCAGAAGGTGGTGGGCTCCCACAGGTTTTCAAGCATGGGTCAGATATGAGTTTCTGCCAAGGATGTTTTAGAAGGGATTCCTTCTAACTCATATTCTGTACTTTGTCAAAAAAAAGAAACTGACATGAATTCACCTCGACTACGTCTATCATTGCTTTATTTTCTAAAAGTGCTTACAAACTAATATACTCTAGAATCTTGCCATGAATTTAAGTTATCATACAAAAACAACAAACCAATATTTCTTATATTTTTCATGTGACAAAGATCAGAATAACTGAAAGTATGAAAAAAACTCAATTTTGTTTAAAATTTACAAAGCATCTCAGAACAAACATGGTGCAAAAATGTATCAATAAATATGAGTGATAGTGATGTATCGTAAAGGATACATCAGTGTATATAGTGATACATTCATTGAGCAATAAATGTAGCAATAAAATGAGTAGGCTGATTAGCTTACTGGGAGAACCATATCTATCAGCATGGCCTTAAAGAACATTAAAATAAAACTTTTATGTGGCTTTAAAGTGTTATTTTTTAAGAACTCAGAGACTTTTAGAAATGAAGACATTTACGTATTTTGCAAAAGTCCTCTCTAAAATACTATTGGGGTTTTGCTGAACTATGAAGCAGGCTTAAAAAAATGTTTTTGTAGTCAAATATAGCCACAACTGTAATGAACTTAGAAGTAAATCAGAGATTTATCTTCCAATTAATGTTTATGTCATAGAATAACTTATTAACTCTTACGACCGAAAAGTAGTTAGATTGTTTTCATGCATCAAAATGATTTGTGTTTCCATGATTTAGTTTGAGATACTAAAGTAGCTTATTTCCAGTAAAGTTTCAATAACTGGTACCTATGCTTTATTTCCACTTTTATAACTTATGCACTTTAAAAACATATAGCCTCTGGGGCAGCTAGGTGGCGCAGTGGATACAGCACCGGCCCTGAAGTCAGGAGGACCTGAGTTCAAATCCAGCCTCAGACCAAACACTTGACACGTACTGTGTGACCTTGGGCAAGTCACTTAACCCCAATTGGCTCACCAAAAAGAAAAAAAAATATAGCTTCTGGCTGAAACATTATACAAAAGAATAAAGTGTAAAAGGTAATAAAATGATTTTCAGAAAGAAAGACTACCAAGAGATCACATTTTTAAGACTAATTCAAAAGAGCTCTGTTAGGGGTAATGCAGTTTCTTGGTTAATTGGTATTCCACATATATTAACTTCTACTTAGTGGCAAGATTATTTATATTGTTACTAAAAAAACTCTCTTCCTAAGAAGTCCCAAGATTACTTATATTATTACCAAAAAACTCTCTTCCTAAGAAGTCCCAACACATTCCAAAGCTGGCAGAGTAGGTGATCTTTCCTAGGCTACATAATCATGTGAGATCCTTAGGATATTAACCTAATTTCATGTGGTATAGTTGGGCCTGCTAAGTAAGCAGAGAAAGGGTGTCAAAATTGGGATGCAGCATGGTACAGTGGAAAAGATGCTGAATTTAGTGACAAGAGAACCTGGGCGGGGTTTGAAGCCCAGCCCTTCTACTTGCTACATGGACACATTGGGCAAGTCACTTACCACGTCTGATCCTTGCTTTTCCCATCTATAAAATGAGAGCATAACTACAGTATTGGTTCAACCAAGACTAAGATAGCATTAAGCAAGTACTGGCCTACCAATGTACTCTAAGCTTTATCTCCATCACTCAAGCTATCTGATTCTACACGCCACCTAAAAAAATAAGTGATCACAAAATACTTATGTTCTTCATGCAACCATATGTCCATATCTACTTTGAACTGTTGCCATGGAATACAAAAATAAACACAATGTCACTAATGGAACTATTCTCTCTCTCTCTTTTTTTTTGGTGAGGTAATCAGGGTTAAGTGACTTTACCAGGGTCACACAGCTAGTGAGTATCATGTGTCTGAGACTGGATTTGAACTCAGGTCCTCTTGTCTCCAGGGATGGTGCTCTATCCACTATGCCATCTAGCTGCTCCTTGGAACTATTCTCTAAATTCTAAATAGGATGCTAAAATGAGGAAATGGGCATGGTACAAAGAAAGAAAAGGAATTACCTGTTTTCCTAATTTTCGAACTGTAAACCAATGTTCCTTATAATTGCATATAAATGATCTTTCATTTCTAGAAAAATAAAACACAATATATAAGTTCAAGTGATTGAGTTTATATTAATTTTAGCTCGTCTACTATTTCAAAATTACCATATTTTTGTACAACTGTGGCAATCTATTACCCTGTCCAGGTTTTTGTGGTTAATAATAATATTTTAAAAGTTTTACAAACTGTAGTGGTATATATGCGGAAAAGTGAGTGATGTCATGCTAATGTATGGCATCACATACCATTCAAGAATAAGCACTGTGCTGCCACAGATACAGAGATGTCATGAAGGCTCAGAGGACATATGTTCACATAAATCCCAAAAAGATGAAAAAGGAAAGGCTGAGGGAACAAAACAAGGTAATATCATAATAAGAGTTTAATGCATATTTCTCTTAAAAATTAAGACACACTTTGAGAAGTTATTGTTATTATTATTTTTTTTTTGCATCTTTTGTGTGTATAAAAAATGAAAGCAGGGAGCTAAAAAGAAAGTCTTACATAGGATCGATCCCGAGCCTCTGATACTCTGGGCTGTTGAAGAGGATTAGCTCTAAACCCCAAACTTTCAAGGCATTGCTTATAACCTGTTAAAAAATAGCAACTTTTCATGAGATAAGCCATTCAACTCCAAATTTAAGCAATGCTGCCACTTTAGCCTCTATGAACAATTACACAGATTTTCCCCACAAAGCTATTATTTTTGTTTAAATTGCTGTTAACTGGAAACCTTTAGGATGGCAACAGTCAAAATCCAACCTTCACAAGTCTACATATAGCACACAACAAACAGAGCATTAAAAAAGAACTGAATATCAAAACTAGCTTTCTTGCTGAAAAGTTCCCATAGTACCACACAACCCCTAGATAAAACACAGCCTCAAATATTCAGATGCATATGCTATCACAATCTTACTCTTATTCTTGGAACTAGTCTACAACATAAATCTAATGTATAAGTTTGGAATATGGCTGCTGTTGGGGCTACTTTAGAAAATTAACATGAAGCTCACTACCAGAGTTAGTGAGGATATAACTAAATGTCTTTCAAAGAAGGTTCTACTCTAGGGATATAAAATGCAGGTCTTATGCATTTCAAACTTATGTAATCATGGGTTCATGGTTTACAGAAAGAATCAAATTTCTTGACGTTGATTATTTAAAGCTGTTTGGAAGAAGAGGGAGTTAAATCTGAATATTCACCTTTCACCCCACCAAGCTAGTTAACAAAGTAGCAAGTGAGCCAAGCAGTGGCATAGGAAAAAAAAGGGGGGGGGGGACACAATGTAGCAGGCAAACTTGAATTAGCATCAAGAGCAGTGTAGCACAATTAGGAACATAGGAATTGCCATACCGGATCAGACCATTGATCCATCTAGTCCCGTATCCTGCCTCCAGCAGTAGCCATTACCTACAACAGTAGCACAATTAAGCAGTGGTAGGAAATGCAATTGAATGATGAGGCCAGGGAGGTGCACAAAGGGAGAATATGAAGAAAGATATAGGCAGAAATTGGCCCCTCAAAGGAACCAAGAGGTAACTTTGTACGCACCACATAAATGATCCTGTGAGAAACAAAAGAAAAAACTCATACAAAATAGACAGCATCCCACAAACACATGTACACACACACCCACACGCCCATACACACCTACCCATCCCAAGGACCCTGGAGAGAGCCATAAGTAAAGAAAAGCAAAAGCCACAGAGCATCACCAAGGGATCAAATTTTTATAGATTTAAAGACAAATAGTAGCTATAATGCTGATTTTTGCAGTGACTGGCAAAAATTAACCCAAGAAGTAATAAGTTTGAAACATTTTGGTTTGTTAGTAGAACCATTATTAAAAGTTAATTGAAAATGAAATAACTCTACTTTTTAAAAGCAGTTAAAAGTACTCAAATTCTGAAAATTATGTGAGAATTATGTAGCTTCCTTTAAATACTGCTGACTAATCCTATGGTCAACCTGATGGAAGAACTTTAAGAACATTCATATTACTGTAATGAATAAAAAAGAAATGTTCTGAAAAGCAATCTACAGTATTAGTCAAACTTACTTGAATAGAGAAGAAACCACTGTCATCCATATTTCCTGAAGGTTGCTGTTCAATTTTGACAGGTGATAGCATAAAAGGAGAAACAAACATTAGGACACATAATTAAAAATCACCAGTTTACAAGTTCAGCTAATAGTTATAATTAATAGGTCAAATTACTGAAATAATTAGTTCATCCTTTCAAAACATTAGTTACTCAACAAATCAATCAGTAAATGTAATATTCCCTAGAAAATAGGTAATTGAAAAAAATGTATTCAAACTGCACTTCATGGGGAAAGAGTATAAATGGTCCAGAGACCTAAACATTATTACCTGTAAAAATGTTCGATAGTCTTCACTAGTGACTCCTCCCTCTGCCATCCTCATCCTCTCTTCTTCATCTAGCTGATGAGCAATAGAGGATAATTCCACAGGGCTAAAATATTCCCCTTGCAATAGATTATTCAGGCAATGTTGAGCACAAAGTGAGCCTTCTTGCTAATAATTCAAAAGAAAAGATTTGATTATCATTTGCTAAATATCTTTGTATAGCAGTTTTCTTTGAAGAGGAATTTAGCAGTTTTATCTTTGATACATTGAACCCACCACCTCTTTAGCTTTGAAACAAGAATGGCTCAGATGCTACACTTAAACTTACTTGTTTATACTTAGGGTACAATTTACCAGTTAACAAAGCAATCACTGTCTAATCAACCACTTAGCTACAAGTTGTTTTGTTTTTTTTTTTTTGACATTTTAAAATGCCATGAAATAAATATCACAGTATCATCTAATACAGCACATCTTATATTTTTCTATGAGTATTCCATTAATGACTTTACAACTACTTTATGACTGTAATAGTATTTAGTTTCTCTTACTTTCAGGGCCCAGAAGAATTAATAAACAAGCAATAACCTCATTGGAAAGATTACATACCATTCACATCAATGTGAATTTCAGGCGTCCTGATTTACAATTATTTTGTTTTGTCAAGTACAATGTCCTTTCTTACTCCATCTCCCAAACATGCCATTTTATACACCAATTTTTAACTGTTAAAGAAGTGATGGAGAGAAAAATTTGGTATGTCAAGTACGGTCTTTTAGCTACATAACTTCGAAATTCCTTTAAGAGGAGTTTCTCAACTTACTTATAAAGAGTGAGGAAGACCTGAATTTGAATCCTGTCTCTGACACTTACAAGCTGTGTGACCCTGGATAAGTCCTTTAATCTCTTTAAGTCTCTGTTTCCTCATCTGTAAAATGAGAGGTTTGGTTCACTATCCTCTAAGATGCCTCAAAGAGTTCTTATGGGGAGATCTAAAGTTATGATTCTAAGTTCCCTGCTTTATTAGATTCATAAGATCACACTTCTGCTGTGAATCAGGGTACATTGTGGGGATATGGGCAGGTGTTTGAGTAGAAAAAAAAAAGCCAGAAAAAATCCAGAGGTTTGAGTAGAAGATAACCCTAGGGTTTGGGCCCCCAGTGGTTTAATGCCATCTCAGTATGGTTCCCAGGCTCTGATATTAAGATCAGACAAATATAGAAGAGAATGAAGTGCTAGAACAGACTGGAAATTACTTAGTCCAACAGATTAGTTTTACAGATGAAGAAACTGAAGGCCAAACAGTTATAAAAACAGACTAAAAATTCAAGTTTCCTCACTCTCTGTCCAGAATTCTTGCCATCATAACACTTGGTCTTCTTTCCCAGGGCTACTATTCACTGAAACCATGCTTCCTAGAGTTTGGACTCCAATGTAGGTATTTGACTGAAAATAAGATCACAGATCTAGATATGGAAGGGGTCTTAAAGGTCATCTGATTCCCATATCTACATAGCTAACCCTCTTTTTCCTGAACTCCAGTCTGTCATCACCAACTCCCTTTTGGTTATCTTAAACTGCATGACCCACAGGTATCTCAAACTGAATACAAACTAGAACTCATTATCTTTTCCTAAAAATCGACTCCTAATCTGAACTTTCCAATCACTGTCAAGGGTACCACTATCCTTCCAGTCACCTAGGTTCACCTCCTTTACTCTTCATTCTCCCCAAATGGAAGTAAGGAGGGAGAGTATTCCAGACAAGAGGAAAATCCAGAGCAAAGACATGGAATAAGGAAATGCTGTATTGTGTTCAAGGAACAGTAAGTCGCCCCATGAAGCTGGAGTGTAGAATGTATGGAGGAGTGTAAAGTATAAGACTGGACAGGTGGCAAAGGGCCAGGCTGTGAAGGTCCTTAAATGACAGGGTATTTGATCTTGAAGATAACAGAGCCACTGGAATTTATTCGAGGGGGGAGGTCAGTCTTGTGCTTTAAGAAAATTACTTTGGTTGCTAGGTGGAGAATGGTTTGAAGTAGAAGGAGAGAGGCTTTAGGAAAACCAATTGGCACATAGTAGGTATTTAATACATGTTGATTGACTACTGCAATGGTTCTGGATAATGTTAAGGAGACCTTGAACTAAGGTGACTGCTATGTAAGTAGAGAGAAGCGGACATATAAAAGAGATGTTGTGGAGACAGAAACAATAAAATTCACCCATTTCGTGAGGCTGAGTAAGAGTCAAGAGTTGAAGCCATGAATCTGGGTGACTGGAAAAACAGTGATGTCTTTAGAAAGATTTGAAAAAGGAGTAAGTTTTGGGGAAAAGAGTTATTTTTGGACATGCTGGGTTTGAGATACTTCTAGGACATCCAATTCAAGATGTCTAAAAGACAATTGATGATGCAGGAATAAAGCTCAGGAGACAGACAAAGCTGGATATATAGATCTGGGAATCATTTGCACAGAGATAACTGAGAAGATAGGAGCCAATGAGATCAACAAACATTAATATAGTGAGAAGACAAGAGGGTTCAGGACAGAGTCTTGGGTATGATGTGAATAAAGAAACAACAAAGAATTTGAGAAGTAATCAGACAGGCAGGAAGAAAAAAGGAGAGGAAAGTAACAGATGCCAAGAGAAGCTGATGATCAACAGTATTAAAGTACACACAGAAGGATGAGCGATGAATGATGGGGACTGAGAAAAGGTCACTAACTTTGACAGTTAAGAGATTATTGCTGACTTTGGAAAGTAGTTTCAGTTGAATAATGAACAGAAGCCAGGCTTAGGGTTTAGAAGACAGTGAAAGTAGATGAAGTGGAGGCATCTAGTGTAGATGGCTTTCTCAAGGAGTTTAGCCAAGAAGGGTAAAAAGAGATATAAGATGGTCTCTGGCAGGTAGGATCAAGTGATGGATTTTTTTTTCTTTTTTTTTTATTAATTTATTTTGATTTATCAATAATCACTTCCATATGCTTTTGAGTTTAAAATTTTTCTCCCCCTTCCTCCCCACCACCCTCCCCAAGATGGCACATAATCTGATATAGGCTATACATTTACATTCATATTAAACATATTTTCACATTAGTGATGTTGTAAGTAGAAATTAAAACCAATAGGAGGAACCATCAGAAAGAGGAAACAAAACTTAACAGAAGAGAAAAAAAATAACAATTTAGCTTCCATAGTTCTTTCTTTGGGTGTGGATAGCATTTTCCATCACAAGGCCTCTGGAGATGTCTTAGATCCTTGTATTGCCAGGAAGGGTTAAGTTTATCAATATTAGTTATCACACAACGTGGCTGTTATTGTGTACAACGTTCTCTGGGTTTTGCAAGTGAAGGATTTTTTAAGGATGGGAGAAACAAAGGTGTATTTGTAGTTGCAGGGAATGAATATCTAAGGAGATTGAAGATTAGAGAGAAAGTGGAAATGACAGAGGGTGCAATCTGCTGTTTAGAATCAAGAATGCATGCATGTAGAGAGGTTTTCTTGGCAAGGAGAAAGGCCACCTCTTCATCCTATAGTGAAGCAGGAGATAGTGGAAGACATGTCAGAAATATAAGCTGAAGAGGAGAGGAGGAGGGAGCTTTTGCTTAATGGCCTCAATTTTTTTGGTGATATTATACAAGCTCCTTATCGGAAGGGATGAGAGGAGACAAATAGGTTTCGAATAACCTCTTTGGTGAGAGAGATAGGAAATTGATTAGGAAGGCACGAAAGGATTACCTTGCTGGAGTGGAGACCCTGTTGAGATTACATAATACAAATTTGAGGTGACTCAATCAACACTGGTTTCTTGATTTTCTCCAGCTCCATTCAGCAGCATATGAACAGGCACATAGAAAGCAGATGGTAAGAGTAATCCTGGGTAGGAATTTTGGTATAGGCTTATAAGTCAAGGAAACAAGAGATGTGAGAGCAAAATAGAGTACAGATTTCAACTAATTAACTAAAGAGTAGAGATACAGAAGGGAGGAGAATGTAGTCAGCGATGGCATGGAAAAGAACTGATGGGTAAAAGGACCAGAAGTCACAGCAAGAACTAAGAATTTGGTTAGGAGTATAAGGAATAGGAAAAGATAAAGTGACCAAAAAAATCATGATGCTAACCATTGGGGAATGAGTCTAGGCAGAGTATTAGTGATTGTAGAGAGGTCCTTTAAGGAAGGCAGGCTCAACTTTGTGGCAAGGGCTGCTTCTCAAAGGCATGCTGACATTACTGGGAAGTGGTAACAGCTTATGGAAAAAGGTAGAGAAAAAAGCACTAGGTAAAAACAGTGGCAGCTAGGTGGTGCAGTGGATAGAGCACCAGCCCTGGATTCAGGAAGACCTGAATTCAAATGTGGCCTCAGTCACATAACACTTACTAGCTGTGTGACCCTGGGCAAGTCATTTAACCTCATTGCCTAGACCCCCCCCACCCCTCCACCCCCCCCCAAAAACAAACCAGATAAGAATTCAAGTTCAGTATAAGACAGCACAGATCTACAAATCTCAATAAATTCTGAGGGCATCATTGTATTATAGCTTAGTATAACTGACATTTATTTACTGTTTGAGAAGGCAGGGAAATGTGAACTCCATTTAAAGTTACATGCAAAACTATACAAATAGATAACCAATCAGCTAATGTGAAAACTCAGTTATTCAGAAATACTTAGTCCCTAAAGTTTTCAAATAAATGAGGTTGTAAAGATTGTCCTGTGACTTAAACCAAAAAGAAATATGATGAAATATGAAGTCCTGAGTAAAATCCACATTTAATTATTTGACAATGAAGGCAAGATCGTTCAAAACTCTTATTCCTATTAGGCTTTGGAGTTAACAATTTTCTCCCAAATATTCTTCCACTCATGTTTTATTATGGCTAAATTCCACAGCTCCATGCTTCCTCTCTCTTGCCTGCCTCCTTATTCACCCAAGACTCATTTGTGCCTCTGAACAGAAAGCACTAAAAGCCAAATAATGTAGGAGTTAGAAGGAACCTTAGCAATCATCTAGTTTAATCCTCATATCACAGATGAAGAAACTGAGGCACAGAGAGGCAAAATGACTTAAATCTAATAGCCAGTATGCAACAGAATGAGAATTCAAACCCAAGGATTATCTTTTGTATGGAGGCAGTGATTAGTAAGGCTGAGTAAGTGAAAGGCTAGTCTGTAAAGTCAGCTTTGGAAATCTGGAGAAAACATTCGTGTTCAGTATGAACTTCAGAAGAAGTTAATGCTAGAAACAAGAGGTTCAAACATCAATAAAGAAGGACAAAGAAAAGCAAAATGATGGACAAAACATATAGGTGCTTACATACTTCTAAAATATGTCATGTGGAGTTTTTGTTCCCACAACATATATCAGTTTATGATAGGTAAAGGGTGCTGGGTAACAAGGACAAAATAATCTGAGATTAAACATTTTTATGACATCATTCACACACATGTAAACTTTTTAGTGACATTTTATACATCCTCTATTATTCTCACCTTCTCATTTATTTTCAACCTTTCTCTATCAACAAATAAGCTCATGTCTCTCCCATTTTCAAAAAACTTTTATTTGATCCCTCCATCTCTGCTAGTTATGATCCCATATCTACCCTCCCTTTTGTGGCTAAACTCCTTGAGAAGGCCTTCACAATTGCCACCTCCACTTCTTTGCTCTTACTCTCTTAACTCTCTACAATCTGGCTTCCAACTTCATTACTCAATCAAAACTTTCCTCTTGGGGTAGCCAGGTGGCACAGTGGATAAAGCACCAGTCCTGGAGTCAGGAGGACCTGAGTTCAAATGCGGCCTCAGACACATAACACTCACTAGGTGTATGACTCTGGGTAAGTCACTTAACCCCAACTGCCTCATATAAAAAACAAAAAACAAAAAAAAAAAATTTTCTCCTCAGTTATGATTCCTAAACTGCCAAATCTAACTAATGACTTTTTCTTATCCCTTACCCTTTCTGACCTCTCTGTAGCCTCTGACACCACTGATCATTCTCTTCTTCTTGATACTCTCTTCTCTCAAATCTACTTATCCAACCCTAACCTTTCTTCTGACTTTGAGTCTTTCATCTCCTATTGAATGGTCTCAAACTGGAAGTCTTTTAGACAAAATCTGGGTGTCATCCTCAAATCCTCACTCTTTCTCACCCCTCAAGTCCAATCTGTTGCCACTCCTTTCAATTTTACCTTCATGTCTCTCACAAATGTTCCCTTCTCTCCTCTGACACAGCTAACACATTGGTACAGGCCCCTGTCACCTCATACCAGGATTCAAGTTCTGATTCTGACAATACTAGTGACCCTGAGAAAGTCACTTAATCTCTCAGTGCCCCAGGCAATGTTCTAAAACCATAAATTGCAGACCAGATGACCATCTTCATTGGTAGAGGAAGTTTTCTACACCACTGAAATTACAGGTTCTATCCTCCCAAAACATAATTGGGTAATTTCATGAAGTAGCATGTAAAAGATTATTTAAAAGATTCTAAAATGAAATACCCAGAAATACATATAAGACTTTAAAGACATGTATTACAGTGATGTTTCAAATAGAAACAATCCCTGAGGGCTGCATATTAAATTAACATTATCACTGTTGTATTGTATTTTTATTTATTTTGTTAAAATTTCTCAATTATATTTTAATCTGTTTCTGCAGCACTCCTGAGTGAGTTTGACACATCTGATGTATTACAAAGAAACAGCTGCCACTAAAGTCCTATTACCAATGAATATCTCATGATATGAAGGTATCCCTATATTCATGAAAACTATATCAGTTGAATGGAAGCACTGGCTGATCAGAGGATGATAAATTTATTTTGGAAGGACCTTTGAAGGTAAACTTTTCCAACCCGTTAATTTTATAGATAAGGAAACTGAGGCTGAAAGAGGTCATACGGCTTTCTCAAGGTCAGTACTTTCTCAAGTATTAAGTGGCGGAAGCAAGATTCGAACACAAGTCCTCTGGCACCAAATTCAGTCTTTCCCATTGTACCAACAAAATCAGAAAGATTTTGAGTAGAAGAAATAAGAGTGTCTATTGAACGAGGAAATGCTTAGCTGTTTGGGGAGGCTCATCCATCACCTAAATGTTGGTGAATTTTGGAGTCTTGGAAACTCAGCAAACAGGCTACCAATGTGTAGAAGGGTTACAGACTGCACCATGGAAGGAGAATGGACAATTATAGAATTATATATCTTTTGAAGTATTGAAATATACATAAGTAAAGCCTTACTATATGTCTGTCTGCCACGCAACTAAATTTCCTTCTCAAGTAAAATAAATAATCAATAATGCCAATCAAGGGCTATCTATACCACTGACATCATCAAAACGAAAAAATCTATTATGTTCTTTAAAAATTTCTGAAAATTTTTCCAGAAACTAAAATTTTCTATTTTTTAAAAAATGAGCTACTTAAAAACAACAACAACAAAAAAAATCTCCCCAAACTTTAAGGGGCAGCTAGGTGGTGCAGTGGATAAAGCACCAGTCCTGGAGTCAGCAGGACCTGAGTTCAAATGCAGCCTCAGACCAAACACTTAACACTTACTAGCTGTGTGACCATGGGCAAGTCACTTAACCCCATTACCTAGCCAAAACAACCAAAACAAAACAAAAAAATACATCTCCTCCCAAAATGAGCTACTTCAGATTTATTATAACAAATCCATTATAATACTGTTATAGTGGATTTTTATTTGGTTGCTGTGAATAAACTGTTTAAATGATGTACTGATCTTCATTTAAAGTATAAAAAAAAACTCCTTCACTTGAGCATCAAAATAATGTCTTAAAATTATATAATGGATAACATAAAAGACTCCACTCTTCCAAACTAATCTTGCCAGTTTTCCCTTCTACATACTAGCATTTATTATAAAACAAGAAAACAACACTTGCCCAAAGCTGTTAGTGGAAGGTTTCACCCACACCCAATGGGCCTGATAATTATAAAGAGAGAAGACAAGTTTCTCCACATACCACAACCATTTAATTGCCCTTATTTTCAAGTGGTCATTTAAGAATCAAAAGGAAGAAACAATCAGGAACAAACACACGGACAAAAGTCCTGTGCAACGAATTAAGGGCTGGAGATGCCCCAGTCAAATCCCAGGTCAGCTAAAGAGTAGCATTTATCTAATAAGAAACTGAAGCTGAGCTTAACTTCTATAAAGATGAATATGTGTGTGGTCCAGACACCTGGAACCAAAACCTTGTTTAGGCTAATTTCAATGGAGGAAGGACAAAAGATTCCTGGCTTGGGGACTTTCAATGACATACAATAATACAAATATTGACTAAACACCTACTCTGCACAGGACACTGGAGGGGTAACAGTTTTTAAAATGAGATCAGTTTTTTTTTTCCTCTTAAGAGGCTTGCAATACAGTAGAGAGAGAAGAGACACCAATACAAATAGGGATAACACAGAATATCACACGATAAATACCTCAGAGAAGTAAAATATAAAGTACTATCTGATGGCTGAGGGGAAGGTCAGGGGAAAGAGATAAACCAGAGAAGATGGTATTTGAATTGGGTCTTATGGCGCCTACTAGGTTTTCAAAAATGCTTTCCTCAAAAGCAAGCCTGTAAGGTACGGAGGGCAAATCCCCAAAGAAACTAGGGTTGAAGTGGGGTGTGACTAGCTTTGGAAGCTGTGACACAGCTAATACCTTCCAGACCCCGGACTTCAATGCAAAGCTCCTGATTCGAAGTCCACCAGTCTTTCTGCTACATTGCTCTACCACTTCAAAGATGGGAAGGACTTCAAGTATTGGACTAATTAAAGAATCACTTCAGAGCAAGAGGGGGAGGGCTTCTGGACTAGGCTTCTCAACCTACCTACCTACAAGATGGGGAGGTGAGGAGATGGGGGTGGGGTGGGGGTCTCCCACCCTGACAGCAGCGGACACGGGAGCTTGGGGAGGGGAGGAAAAGTGGAATTTCAATAATAATAATAACAATAAACAATAGCTGACAAGGGAAGAGCTGGACCCAACGCACCCTCTCACGTTCAGGGCCCAATGCATCCACGAACACGACCCCATCCCCTTCCAAGTCACTTCTTCCGCCCCTCCCCTAGGCTTCCGACCCCCGCCCCACTGGTCCTTCCCGGACTCCTCGAGGCCGGCAGCCGGCGGTCGGTGAGAAGGGTCCTTGGGCTGGCAAATGGATGGGCGCCCTCGGAAGGAAGCAGCTGCCCAAGCTAGGTGCCCACCTCCCCGGGCTAGGTAGGCCCCGGCGGAAGGGTGGAGGTGGCAAGAGAGGCCGCCTCGGCTTCCCTGGAGAACCTAGGACACCCTTCTCCTCCCGCACCGCCCAAGGTGGGAAGGGCGCCCTACAGATCCTCGGACACTTACTTTCTCGTGGAAGATGGACTCCATGTTTATTTGTCTGGAGCCAACGGACCCGCGTCGAACCACCCCCCTCCAGCCCCTCCCCCCGCCCCCCGCCCCAGCTCTGTCCCCATCCCCACCCCCACGCCCAAGCCCAACCTGCTCCACCGCACCCCGCCCACGTGCCCCTGACGCTGACCAATCAAACGCAGGAGATCCGAGTCATGTGAGAAGCAGGAGAGGGGGCGCGGGGTGGCTGGGAAGGAGGGAGCGGGTCCGCGAAGAGCCCTTCCCTTGGCGTAATCTCCCACGTGACCGTCGCGGAGCTGCCCCGCCCCGCCCAGACGGGGTTTCCGGCCCGGCAGATCGCGTTCCTGCCGCCTGTAGCATCCCTTCTGGACCGGTTCTGGCGCCGCAGGCTCTTCTCTATCGTTTGACTGAGCTGGGTCCAGACGGGCCAGGTGGGTCCTTAACCTTTCAGGATCTTAGGATTTAGAGCCTGCAGGGGAGGGGCCGTAGAAATCCTTTGGTCCTATAGCCTTCGTTTTACAGAGGAGAAAACTGAAGCCCGAATCCCGGGGTTCTGAAGGCTTCTTCCCCTGCCACCTCCACAGTGCGAGCCTGTGCTAGCTCTTTTACGAGGGGTAGGAAACGTGGCGTAGGGAGGGGAGGACTGAGTGTGCAGTCAGAAGACTTAAACTTCAGCCCTGACTCAGAAACTCAGAAGATGTGTTGAGAAATTCATGCTTGTGTTAGCAAGGAGCTAAATATAACATAGGTAACTATTTTATTGCATAGGTAGATGATACATCGATTTTTGTGTGCATATATGTGTGTGTATAAATACATACATATATACAGAACACAATTTTTTGTGTTAAAGTAATAATATATACTAGACTGGTTGTCCCAAAGGACTTTGAACTTTTGGGACACTATTACACATACAGATATATGTATACATACATTACACACAAGTACACTACTTCCTGTAAATTTTAAGACGTCTCATTTTGAGTGGCATCGCACAATATAAACCAGAAGAAATAAGTTAGCATAAGCCAAACCTAGAAATAAGCAATTTCATCGTTTTGCCCTAGCTAAATGAAATGTATATGTATTTTAAACTAAATTTATTGCAGTAACCATTTATTAAGCACCTACTATATTCCTGTCTTCAAGGAGTTTACTTTCTACTGAAGATATATCATGTAGAAAGAAAGGGAAACTAGCATTTATTAAGAACACACTATGGGTCAAGCACTGTGCCAGGTGGTTTCCAAATAGTATTTCATTTGATCCCCACAACAACCCTAGGAGGTAGGTGCTATTATCATCTCCATTTTACAGTTGTAGTTTAACTACTTTCCCAGGGTCACAGGACTATTAAGTACATGAGGCTAAATTTGAACTCAGGTTTTCCAGATTTCAGTTCTATCCATTGAGCTACCTAGAGTTTTAAGGTTTTAAAGTACTTTGTATATATTATATCATTTGATCCTCACCCGACTGTGGGAGGTAAGTGCTATTATTTCCATTTGCAGCCTAACTTGCCTAAGTTCACCCAGCTAGTAAGTGTTTGAGGCAGGATTTGAAATCAGGTCTTTGTGATTCCAAATCCAGTACTCCATCCACTTCACCTAACTGCCTCAGTAGTTACATATTTTTCATGCAGAATATGTAAGCAGGTGGTAATTTGAGGAGGAAGAGAACATTCATTCACTTCATAAAGGTTTAAGGACTGCTTCAAAGAGGAGGAACTTGTGGTAAGCCTTGAAAGAAGATACGGATTCAAAGAAAATAAGGTAGGAGGGAGTTCATTGAGTGTCCTCCTTTTGAATGTTTGTGGTATTAGGTGCAATGTTTGGTTAGAGAACATCAAGTAGTCCAACTGGGCCAAAGTGATGGGGAAGTAATATAAAACAAGGCTGAAAAGTTGCCAAATCTTGTTGTTTTTGTTGCCACAAATACATCTTCTTTCTTTTCATTCACACAGCAACTACCCTACTAGACCTGTTGCCTAAAAAATGGCAGTAGCTTGGATCTCTGTCCCAAATTTCTCTCCCCCCAACCCATTCTTCACAAAGCAGCTAAAATTATTTTTGTAAAGCATAGATCTGACCGTGCCCCTACCTGATAAACACTAAATTACCTTTCTGATCAAATAGAAACTCCTCTGTTTAGCATATAAATGTCACTAGAACCTGGCCCCTTTCCACCTTCTTTCTATGGTTTCCTGTTTCCATGCTTTTGTACTGGCTGTTTTCCCGTGCCTGGAATTCCATCCCTCCTCATGTCTACCTTTTGGGAGTCCTTGGTTTCTTTCAAGACTCAGCTCGAGCACCACCTTCTGCAGGAGGCCTTTCCTGGTCCTCCCCAGCTGCTGGTACCTTTTCTTCCAAGGTTACCTTGTGTTTGTTTTGTTCGTGTCTTGATATATACCAGTACATGTTCTAGTTATCTCCTGTTAGAATATAAGCTCTTTGGGGCAGAGACTGTTTCACCTTTGTCTTTGCATCCCTAGCTCATTAGCATAGAGCAGGCACTTAATACAGGTTTGTTGATTGAAGTTGGGATTAGATTGTGGAATGCCCTAAATACCAGGTTGAGAAGTTTGTATTTCACCCCAGAGACTACAATGTGCTGCTGGAAGTTTGTGAGTAGGGGAGTAGTTAGCTTTACACTGTAAGAAGTCTTTGCAGGGTTCTGGAATAAGAAATCTTATTTTTCTCAAGGAGTCTTGGGGCCCAAGTTCAAATCCAGACTCTGTCACTGTCCCTTGTGACCTTGGATAAGTCATTTAACTTCTCTGCTCCTCAGTTTCCTGAAGGGATCGAATTAGATGATGAGGTCCACTTCCAGCTCCAGGTCTATGACCCTGTGAACTGATTCCCCTTTAGAGGTGTCAGTCAGTAATAAAACACCCCCAAATGAAACCAGCTAGGCATTTACTCAAATATTGTGCTTGTTCTATGCATAGCACTGTTGTGAGAGCTGTAGTAAATACATACAGACAATGTTTATTCAGTTAAAAACTATTTCTGCTTGATAATTTAGAGGAGGAGGCAAAACAGAGATACGTCAAAAGTTAAAAAGCACAGCTAGGCAGTGCCAGAAAAGACCTAACTTCTTCCATGAAACGTTTATATTACTACTGCTATTAACAACTAGCATTTCTATGGTGCTTTATAGGTTTGAAAAGGCTTTACAAATATTATTTTATTTGATCCTCACAACAGCAACCTTGAGAGGTAGGTGCTATTATTATCCGCATTTTACAGATTAGGAAACTGAGGCAGACAGGTTAAGTGATTTTCCCAGGGTCACACAGCTAGTAAGCATCTGAGAGAGGATTTGAACTCAGGTCTTTCTGACTCCAGGTGAAACACTCTTTCCACTTGCCACCAGCTGTCCTGGTTTAGCTTAACAGTGGTTTTGCTCTTGTCTGAGCCCAATGCACTTATTGACTATAGAATCTGACAACTAAACAGGCAGTTTTAAGTTGGAGAGAGCGACTGACCTCAGGAAACCTGGGTTGTGGTGTCAGCTGTGCCATTAATTCACTGTGGGAACATATGCAAGTCATTTTTTTGTCCAGTCTCTTCATCTTTCTTAAAACAACTACATAATTGCTGTAAAGTCCCCTCCAATAGGAACAACTTTAAGACATTTTATATTCTTCTTCTTATTGGTAATACAGGGAAGGAACAATGACTTTGGAGTCCCAGCTCCACCATTTAACTAGCCTTGTAGCTACGGCAGCCTCTGAGCCTCAGTTTCCTTATCTTTAGAGTGGAAATATTCAAGCAGTTAACCAACATGTATTAAACACCAGCTGTTTGTAGAGCACTTTGTTGAGGAGTGATACCAAATTTAGATATGACATGGTCCCTGCCTAGATGGGGTTTATAATTGTGTAGAGGTATCAAAGAAGTGTATGTTCAAAGAAAATGAGTTAGTCACATGGTGGGAGCAAGAGATAACCAATGGATAGCCTGAAGTCATCACTGGTATCTTTGCCATATTAAGGGAACCCAGGAAAGAACCCTAGAACTTTAAATAATCCTCCTGTGGCAGACTTATGGGAGAACATGGGACAGCAGTCACACAGGATGGACAGGCACAGATAGGTTTTGATCTGCAGTGTTGGAGGTACTATCCACATTAACGAGATCATGGGTCATTTACAACATTGAAGTGGTACATTAGGGAATTGCAAAACAAAGAACTTTGTGAAAGCCATGGGAGGGAAAGCTGTTAGTGACAAGGCTTTGTGAGACAAGTGGCATTTGAATTGGGCTTAAAAAAATTGGTAGTTTTTCAACAGGGGAATTTTGGACATAGATAGTATCCAGGCATAGAGAAGCGCATGAATAACCACCCCTCCCCCCAAATATGAACATGCAGGGCATATTTGGGAAATAGAAAATAGATGGTTTGGCTGAAATACCATGTGAGAGTACTGAGATAAGACTGGAAAGATGAGTAGTCCTGGATCATGGAGGACTTTGAATTCCTTAGCTAAGGGGTTTGAATTCTACTTAGCAGCCACTGAAGATTTCTGCAATGACATAAACAATATAGGCATAATAGATTTTTCTAGAAGCAGTATGATGTATTGAAGAGGAGAGAGAACAAAGGCATGAAAATTATTTTAATAACCCATGTAGGTGGTAACAAGGGCTGTCTCTACTAAAGTGAAGGCAGTAGGAAAAGAGGGAGACGGGAGGTAGCCTGAGAAGGAATGGACAGGACTTGGTAACTGAGGTGTAAAGAATAGGGAAGCATTAAAAATAAATGGTGCCACCACTAATAAAAAATAGTGAAGTCAGATGGAGGAGCCTTATTAGAAATAAGATAAAACCGGGTTTGGGACATACTAGGATTGGGGTGCTGGTGAGACACTTTGGTGAAGACTGATGGGCAGTGGGAGATGGAAGGCCTTGAGCTATAGGATTTGGGAGAGAATGCAGAGAAATGGTGTGAATGAGATTGCTAATGAGTAGCAGAGGAGAATAGAAAGGGGTGTGTGTATGTGGACACAAAGGAGGCAGAGCTCTGGAGGTTATAGCTGCAGGGGTACATAACTTGGGGTCCTTGAACTTGTTTTAAAAATATTTTGATGACTTTCAATAAAATTGGGGTGAGATCCATCACACACACACACACTTCTAGAGGTTTAATAACTACTTCCAGAGTGTACTGTCTCTGAAGCTTAGGTAAGAAAGCATATTCATTTGGAAGGGGTATTCAGCAATGTCAAAAGATGTAGAGGGTGAAACCATAGGATTTGGTGATCAAGAAAGAAATCATTGGCAACTTTTGAGAAAGCAGTTTTGGTAGTGAGACAGTGGTAGTGGTGGGGAAATATTTCAAGGGATTAAAGACAGTGCCCAGTGAGGAAGTAGAGGCATTGGGCACAGCTAAATTTTTCATTAAATTTAGCAGGGAAGGGTGGGTCAGAAGGGTCAAAAGGAAGGTTTTTGTTGTTGTTTGTAAGCACTTGAGAGATTTGTTTGCAAGCAAATGATGAGAAGCCAAATGAAAAGAGGTTGATTGCTGGAGCAAAGTTCAAGACAAGGTAGGAGTAAATAGGGTCAAGGATGCAGTAGGATGCAAGTCGAGAGATTAGAGGACTGAGTATATTTCTTTGAACGGAGAGGTGACATGAGGAATAAAGACAGGAAATTGAGGATTCTTCTTAGATTATCTGCTTTAAATTTGGAGAACTAGCAATATCCTTTTAATTCCCTCTACTTTAAGGTTGCTTGTGAGGATCAAATGTATATATAACTTTGTAAACTCTAACACATTAAGTGTAATCTATATCAACATTTGTTGTTTGATTGATAGAACAGTATTCCAGAAGTTTACAGGAGGGAGAAACAGTATGGGACTGGATACTTAAGGTTAAACTTGTTCTAAGTCTTGAAACACTCATCTTAAAGAGCTTTTTTCCCCCCACTTAATAATATTTTATCTTTTCCAATTACATGTAAAGATAGTTTTCAACATTCACCTTTATAAGATTTTGAGCTCTAAATTTTTTTCTCCCTCCCCTCTTTCTCCAAGAAGGCATGCAATCTGATATAGGTTATACACGTACAATCCATTACACATATTTCCTCATTAGTCATGATTGAAGGAAGAATCAGAACAAAAGGGAAAAACAAGAAAGAAAAGAGAGAAAACAGCATGCTTTGATCTGCATTCAGACTCTATATAGCTCTTACTGTGGATGTGGATAGCATTTTCCATCATGAGTCTTCTGGAATTGTCTTAGATCATTGCATTGCTGAGAAGAGCTAAGTCTATCAAAGTTGGTCATTGCACAGTATTGCTGTTACCGTGCCTAGTGTTCTCTTGGTTCTGCTCACTTCACTCAGCATAGGTTCATGTCTTTCCAGATTTTTCTGAAATCCACCTGCTCATCATTTCTTATAGCACAATAGTATTCCAGTACATTTATATACCACAACTTGTTCAGCCATTCCCCAACTGATGGGCATCCCCTCAATTTCCAATTCTTTGCCACCACAAAAAGAGCTGCTATATTTTTGTACGTGTGGATCCTTTTCCCTTTTTTATGATCTCTTTGAGATACAGACTTAGTAGTGGTATTGCTGGATCAAAGGTTATGCAGTTTTATAGCCCTTTGGGCATAGTTCCAAATTGCTCTTGAGAGAGAGCTTATTAAACTGATTTCTAGTAGATATACCTGTGTCATATTTCCAATGTGACCAGGGGCACATTAATGCCTCAGTTATTCTCTTTGTAAAATATTTATCTCCTGATTTTTCCCACAGAATTGTTATGAGGATGAATAAGAAAAAATGTTTTCAACTTATTGGAAATTTTCCATGTAAATATAAGTTAGTATTCATTTCCTTAGATTCAGAGCCAAGGTATAATTTAATGGAATTTAAAATAAACTTTCCATACCTTTTTTGAGAAATGTATTTTTTACTCTGTTCAGTTGTTTCAATCATGTTAACTCTTCATGACCCCTTTTAGGGTTTTCTTGGCAGAGATACTGAAGTGGTTTGACATTTCCTTCTCCAACTCATTTTACAGATGAGGAAACTGAAGCAAACAGGGTTAAGTGACTAGTCCAGGGTTACATAGCTAGTGTCTAAGGCAAGATTCCACTGCACCACTGAGTTGCCCTATTTTTCACTCTAGCAATTTTGATATCCCTATAATGACCTGATTAGAGAACTGACAATATATTACAGAAGTAATTAGGGAATATCACTTCAAGCATTGTTTTAATTTAATTCAGTTGACTTTACTAAATTATATTCTTTGGTTCGAGCAAGGAACTGAGCTGTACATTGTATGATAAGAAGATGGATGACTGAGTCAGAAGAGAAACCAATTTTATATGCCCTGGCATTTAATAGTTTATTTCTAGAAAATATACCATGATAGGGAGTTTTTGCCCTAATTTCAATGTCACTGAAACAGTAGCTCTCTTTTCCTATTTGTTTCTGATATTAGTTTTGCACTATTTGGTTACATACTTTAAAATTAATATTTTTTAAAGTATTAATCATCAGTCCACCTTCATATAATTAGAGCAAAGGAAAATTCTTAAAAGCCTCGTCTTCTATTTTAAGTTAAAACCATATAATGAAGATTTAAAATTTATCTGCCAAAGCACAGCATCATTTCTTTTTTTTAAGGATTAACTGTGTGGTTTTACTGTTTCTTTTGAAATTAAATATCTTGTTTTAAAATGAAAAGTTTCATAAAAATTTGTGAACAGAATTTGATTGTTTTCAAAATGTAAAAACAATAGAGAGTTAAATAGGAACTGCAAATCAAGTCCTGTGTCCTTTGGAGGTCCTCCACAAAAAAATCTATCTGAACAAATGAATGAATTTTTTTTTAGTGGCTTGTTAACTCTCTTCATTTGAAATAGGAACTCATCACAATTAGGACAACATAATTTCCTAAGTAAAAACAATAAAAGCATTTTTCATTTCTTTCATAAAATTTTATTTAACCTGAAAATTTCTCAAGTCAGCCAAAGCCTTCATTTCCAGGTAACTTCTTCATCAGGTTTCAGTTCCCTGTGTAGAAGGAAAAAAAGAGGGGTAAAAGACAAACATTTAAGAAACAATTTTTGTGAGAGGAAAAAAGAAAGTTAAAAGAAGGCTAACTTACTATTTTTTATTTTGTTAATTTGACTGTATTTTATGAGACATTAGTGTAATGGAAAGAGAAGTAGATTTGTAGTTAGAGGACCCAGTTCAAATTCTGACTGTTACTTGCTAGACTTTATGTGAGCTCTGTCAAGTCCCTTAACCTCTGTGGGCCTCAATTTCTTTGTGTGTAAAATGAGAGGATTGGACTAGATGATCTCTAAGGTTCCTTTAACTCCAAACTGTGATCTTATGACTTTATAACATATTCAAAATATGGTAATCCTTGTTTTTATGATACCTTCTCAGTTAAAACTAAAGGCATATCAATGTAAATGATGTACAATCTACATGAAAGTAGCAGGAAAAAGGGGAAAAACCTAGTCAAATTAGATTTTTGTCTTTATTTTTCATTTTTTAAGATACTGAGATCAACTATTCTAACCTCCTTGCTAATAGTAAAATGCTATATAAATGTAAGTTCTCATTCAAGATGTTTTGTCCAGTATTCTGAAATGTATACATTTCATCCTTATCTTTCATGATTTTATTCATTTCTCTCAAATTCTCAGCATTTTTCCTAGGCTAAGAAAATCCCAATTTCTTTTTTAATCTGACTTCATATGGAAGGCTCTATCACCTTGATCTTTTTGGGTGTGCTTCTCTGGACCTTCTCCAGCTCCACTATGTATTTCTTGAGGTACAGCAACCAGCTCAACACAAAGTATAGACAGCTTCTTGACTTAGGAATACTTGACCTGTAACCACATATGAGCATCCTGCTGCTGGAACCTTTCCCTGCTAATAACCTACCAGAGAAACTAGTTACATCTGCAAATGTTAGTCTATACATCTGCCTAAGCCACCCCTCCCAACCTTTGCACCTGATGTGCAAACCTTTCTTTTCAGGGCTAGGAGGGACTTAGACTAAACTTTTAGGACTACTATTAGTATTATTTTAGCTATATTACAGATCAAATGAGAAACTGGTTTGAAAAATACAAAATACACAAAAGCATCATCATTACTATAGGTGGAGTGTTCTACTGGTACTTCATCATGACATGGAAATGACCTTGGGGTCCTAAGGGCTTCCAGTATGAAGATTTTCATCTAAGACTCATCTCTTGGTTGAGAATATGGTGATGAATTTTTAAGCCATAGCAACTCTCACATTGTCTCCTAATTCATAAAGGGGTTTTGAGATGCATTACTGGAAGAAGTACCGACACTGGCAAAGTCATAGATCTCTGAAGTATGGGCGAAATCAATTTTCCTGAGGTGGTGCAAAAACCCAAACAACAATGTTCTTATGGGAAAATGTGTTCCAAGTTCCAAGTAACTTAATAATAACTGAACTTTTGAAATACAAGAACTGCTGTCTTTATTTTGTTGATATGCCTTACCAAATTTATTGTAAGAGCATTTTTTTAGGTGATAGCATTTTAATGAGATTCCAAATGGGATGTAATAACTTATGTTTATTTTATGCTGACTGCAGAACACTATTGGTTAACTCAGTACTATAAAAAATAATAAAACAGTCAGTTAACAGAAGGTTTAGAAAACAAGTATATAAACCAACCTTTTAAATAACATGCTCTTATTCCGGAAAGTAGTTAGTTTTTCATCACTCTTCTTGTCTAGATAATAACCAATGAAAAATCCCATTGGTACCAGAATATGAACCCAGTGGTCACGCACGGCCTGAATCAAATTCACCATGATTGCTTTAAAAAAAAACAAAACAAAAAACAGGAGTAGGGGGAGAGAAAAAGGCTTAACAAGATAGAGATATTTGATTGTGAGAACTCTTTAAAACCTCACCTAAAATAGGAAGAAAGTGTTTAGTGGAAGAGAAGGGTTAAATATGAATACTGAAGTTCACTTTAAACTTCCAACTTGTTTTCATTCTTTGGGCTTCATTAATTGATTCATTCAATAGTTAGTGTTGAATTTATGTATGGGTATGGAATTGTATTAGGCACTGAGGAGAATACAAGTTCCTCAACATTACATGATATATAGTGTCTAAAATTCATGATGAAGATAAAGGGTAGTAGTAGTATGGACTAGTGTGCAAGTTGATTTCTTTTTAGGGAAAAAAAAAGTCAATCAAAAAAACATTTAAGTATATATTATGTTCCAGGCACTGTCCTAGGCACTGGTGATAGGAATATAATAAATAAAAAATTCCTAATCACAAGGATCTTACAGTTGATTTATTTTCCCCCAGCAATCTGTTTTAATTGTTTTGTGGTGGTGGTTGTTTCCTTATACATTGTTCTAGTCATTGTGTATATTATTCTCCTGGCTCTGTTTAATTCACTGTTCGTGCAAATCTTTCCATGCTTCTTTGTATTAATCATACTTTTTCCTTTTTTTAGGCACAGTAGTATTTCTTGATATTTATGAATCACAATTTGTTTAGCCATTCCCCAATCACTTTGTTTCCCAGTTCCCTGCAACTACAAAAAATACTTTGATAACTATTTTGGTGTATAAGGAACCTTTCTTTTTTATCTGCTGTGTCTTTGAGGGTATATGTCTAGCAGTAGAATCTCTGAGTCAAAGAATATGGGCATTTGCATAACTCTACAATGTTTTCCAGCATATCTGTACCCATTTTCAGCCCCAAATGCAACTATGGACCTGTCTAGGAGTTGGTTTCTTGAGTTTTGTTTCCAGTCTCCTCATTCACCCACGAGTTAAGATAAAAAGGCTTTATAACACTGTTTCTCCCTTTCCCTATCTTCAAAATGGAAGCTATTCCTGGCAAATTAATCCACCTTATAAAATTCATTTAGAATTATTTTAGATTTTGTAACTTATTTTTTAATCCAAGGTCAAAAGCACTACTATTACATCTATTGAAACAAACTTCTTGGTAAATCTATCAAATATTATTAACTGACTACTAAAAAAAGTGTAAACATAATAAAAAAAACTTATTAGCAAGGAGGTCAGAATAGCTGACCTCAGTATCTTAAAAAAAGATGCTAACTGCAATACTAAAGAAGATAGAGAAATACTCATTTCCAATATCCATACCAATGCTAATGCTAGAGAAATCTGCAAAATAGGGTTTTTCAATAGATTTTACAAATTAATACAAAAACCTCTTTACAAAGACTGAAACCAGGTCCTAAATTCAGATTTCATTGTAAAGAATTTCAGGGAGGAAGAGTAGTTTTAGAGCTGGAAGGGGCTTCAAAGGCCCTCTTGTGCAACTCTCATTTTACAAAGGAGGAAACTGAGAACTAGGAAGGTCAAGTGACTTGCTCAAAGTTACACAGACAGTGAGAGGTAGGATATGAATTGTATCAGATACTCAGCTCCCATAGCCAGTAATCTTTCCATTCTACCTTGACCAGCGAGCTATTAATAAAACATCAATTTCTTCTAAATGGACTACAAAACTAATTATTGGAGTTTTCTTATCTTTTTTTTAAAGGAAGAAACCAAATTATGCTTAGTTATATACTGTGATTAAGAAGGAATATGCAGAAGTCAGTGTGTAATAATGAAAAATGAAAAAAAGAGAAATGGATTTGGAGTCAGAAAACCTGGGTGAGAATCCTAACTGGTGCATACCATCTCTAGTACCTTAAGTCAATCATTTCATCTATCAGGGTCTCAGTTTCCACATCTATAAAATGAAGGGGTTAGTTAGACTAAAGGATTTCTGAAGTTCCTTCCAGCTCTAAATTCTGTGATTCAACTAAGCTAGTCGCGTGACCTGCGTAAGTGACTTACACTGTGAGGCCATTTTCCATTGCTGCAAAAAGAGGCTGGTGGAAGAAGATCATCTGTAAGGAAGACCCTTTCTATCTCTAAATCCTATACTCCTTTGGATAAATCATTAAAAACTCTCTGGGATGAATGAATTCAGCAAACATTTACTGAGTAACTGCTGTGTGAAGAACACCCTGTTGTGTTTTGAATGGAATACAAAGATGATTAAGAACATAGTCCTTGCCTTCAAGGAGCTTATGATCTAGTTGGGGATGTAAAATATGCACAAATTCATACAATTTAGAGAGATAATCAAAGAGGAGAGGGACTGACAAGTGTCAAAGGGTGCAGAGAGGTCAAGATGGATGAAAATTGGAAAAGGCTATTAGCTATCACTGGAGAGAGTAGTTTTGGTTGAATGATGAGGTTGGAATGAGTGATACAATCACAGCTGGGCATTTGTTTCATCCTATTTTTCTGGAAGACCAACCTTTTTCACTGTCCACTGCTTTAGTGAGATTTTCTATGGCTTTCTATGTTCTAAATAACTGGTTGTATTTTTCTTTTTTAAATTCTGAGAATTGTAATGTCTATCCTTATTTCTTCCTTTAATTCTTTTAACTGAGCTTCTACACCATCTGGGAGTAAGGAAGGCATAGGCTTAAGCCCTAACTTTTAACACATCCTTGTAGTATGATCTTAGGCAAATCATTTAACCTTACCCAGGAAACACTCTAAGACTCATAAGATCTGCATTGGTAGAGGGATTTTCTTATTAGGAGCTCTCTTTTTTAAAAGGGGGAAAATACCAAAAATCCACATTCAGGAATCTTTTTGATTGACTGAGAGTGAACCAGGCATTTATAACACAGACTAAAAAGTTTAATCCATAGTGTGAAATGGTGGAAATAGTATCAGACTTATTAAGACTCAGGCTCAATTCTCCTTTCAATGCTTTCTGGCTTTCCTCAAATGTAAAATGAGGATAAAAATAATTTAAAGATTGTTTTGTGAGGCTCAAATGAGATAATGCATGCAAAGTGCTTTATAAACACAAAGCACTATGTAAGTGTTGCTTGTTGTTATTACTCAGTGGATGAATCCCAAAATAATCTTTGGAATGTTCTAGTATAGAAGATATGATCATCTTGGGGATATGAGGAGGAATAAATGATTCATTCTGAAGGGAATCATAATAAAGATCCAAGCTAGGGTCAAGGAATTGTGACTAGACAGAATAGCTCAAGAAATTTAAGTATCAACTATTTAGGGACCAAGTAGTTTTCTTTTATTTATAGTTCTAGTTAGCTTACTTTGGTATAATTTTATTTTCTTTGGTATCTATATCTTCTTTTTTCCTCTGTAAACAAACCGTAGAAAATGTACTTTTAGTGTCTGGAATGGTATGAGACAGGGTAAAAGGAAGAAAGGGATTCAATGTGAAAAATTCAGCATTAGTAACAATGAGAGAAGAAGGGGGGGGGAAGATGATAAGGATAAAGTATGGTAATATTTAAATGAAATGGCTATGAGGAAGAACTCATACCCAGGGAAGCCTAAAGTCCAGTTAAGTTAAACTAACCATTTATTAAATACCTAACACATGCAAGGCACTTGTGCTAGGTACTGAGCATATAAAGATAGATAGCTGGGTGACCAGGAAACTGGCACTAATAGAAACAAATAAGGTAAGGAGAAGAGAGAAAATCAAGGAGTATTATTTTGGACATGTTCAATTTGAGGTGCTGGCAGGGTAATTCGCAATGAAATATACAGCAGACATATGGGACTAAGACTGTAGGGGAAGGTTGGGAATGAAGAAGATAGAGATTTGGGATTCATTTGCATAAAGTTACTAATAAAATCATGGGAGTACACGAGATCACCAACAGACAGAAGGTAGAGAGAAAAGATAAGGGCCAAGGGGAAAATTTGAGGGAAATATATACTAAAGGGTCAGGAGGAAGAAAAGAAACCAGGCAAAAAGAGAAGATAACTCTCAAGCAAGAAGAGGCCACCTTAAATGTCAATGAAGAAGTTATCAAGGAGTGCTTCTTTTTCCAAATGCCATGGAGAAGTCAAGGAGGATGAAGATGGGAAAAAGCCATTGCATTTAGCAATAAAATCATTAGTGGTCCTAGAGAGTGGTGCTTCAGTATAGGGATAGAGGCAGAGTTTAAGCAAGTGTGTGGTGAAGCAATAAATCCTGATTATTCTTTCTACAGGTTTGGCAGTAAAGGAGAAGAGAGAGAAGATAGCTTGAAGAGGTAAGCAGGGTCAAGAGGAAGAGTAAGGAATAAGTACTATGTGTCAGGCACTGTGCTAAGTGCTTTACAAATATCTCACCTGATCCTCACAATAACCCTTTGAAGTATGTGCTGTTATCTCTATTTTACAGTTGAGGAAAACAGATAAAATGGCCTGCCCACATGTGTGTGAGGCCAAATTTGAATTTGGGTCTTCCCGAGGCCAGTCTCAGCAATTTATCTATGGCATCTCTTAGCTGCTTATAAAGAATTTTTTTTTTTTTTTTTTAAAGATCTAGAGATCTAAGAATGTAGGCTAAGGGAAAGAGGCCATTGAAAGGAGAGAATGGTGATACATGAAGGAAGGTCTGATTGATGAGCATGGTCATATCAAAGACTCCTTTTGAGATTAAGGGTACAAGTAGCGGGGTTAGCTTCAAAAAGGAGGGCCATGTTTTCCTCTTATATTATAGATAAGGAAAGGGGGAAATGGCTGAAGACAGGAGATTTACAGCAGAGATGTCAAACTCAAAAATGGGACCATAATCCCTGTGGGGCAGCATACTGACTTAGAAAACCACATGTTAATATCATCTATGTTCTATTGTATTTTTATTTATTTTGTTAAGATATTTCCCAATTACATTTCAATCTGATTCAGGCAGCACTCAGGATTGCCTGGTATGTTTGACGCCTCTGAAATAGGGGGACACTCATAGAATCGTAACATTTAAAGCTGGAATGGATTGTAAATATCAGGTAGTCAAACCACTTCCTTTTACAGAAGAGGAACTAAGGCTAAGATTTTAAGTGAAATTTCCAAGAATTAAGTAGCCATCAGGATTCAAACCCAGGCCTTCTGACTCCAAACACAGTGATCCTTTCATTACACCAAGATAAGGGATTTCATATTGGATGACCTCAGTCTTCTCCAGACAGTGGAAGGCAAAATCAATTGATGAGAATAAGGTGGGATGGGATGAATTGGGCACTTAAGGAACATCTGAAATTACCTTTATGGGAAATGTAATGGTCAATAAGACATCAATAAAAGGATTCCTATGGAGCAGTGGGATTTCAGTTGAGATTAGAAAGTATAAACTGCAATGGACCCAGGTTGAGAGGATTTCATAATTTCCTCCATGTCTGGCAGGTCAGAAGTAGAAAGAGAAGAGGTAATTCCTATATGCTATGAGTTAACTATGGTTAAAATTGTGCAGTGCAGTAATGGCAGAAGGTCAAAGGAACAGAAGGATTTAAGGGTGAAAATTTCAAGTATTCAAGAAGCCTATGGCTGGATCCTTTCTGATCCTTGTTTCCCAACCACTGGACCAAGGCATTTTCTTTTTCTTTTTTTGGGGGGTGGGAGGGGTGTTAGGAGGGTGGTCCAGAAATATGATTTCCTTCATATAAGAAACTCCCAACGTGGAGACTTTCTCCTGCCTCTCTGCAAATTCTGACTGATCCACAAAACTTTTACTTCTAAACAGTTCCTACTTCTAACTTTTAAAACTCATGTATATGGCAACATTCTCAAATACAATCAATAGGCTATCACTATCTAAAGTACTCCTAACTTATCTATATTACTTTTATATAAACTGAGTAACTTTATAGCCCTTACCTGCTGGAATGTCACAACTCAAGTTACAATTCTTGGGGCAGCTAGGTGGTGCTGTGGATAGAGCACTGGCCCTGGAGTCAGAAGGACCTGAATTCAAATTTGGTCTCAGACCAGCACTTGACACTTACTAGCTGTGTGACCCTGGGCAAGTCACTTAACCCCAATTGCCTAAAACAAAACAAAAAATCAAGTTACAATTCTGGAGTTATAACTTGTGATCATCATTTACCAAAAAAAGGCCGCATGACTACAATATGCCTTGTGGAACATAATGTTTACATCAGAGTTAGAAGTTTTGAAAAACCACAAGTTGTCATGTACTGACCACTAGGTTGTGTTCTAAATATGATTATTCTATGAGAAGCAGCTTGGTGTAAGAACACTGGACTTGGGAGTCAGGAAATATCCAGGTTCAAAGCCCATTCCTGACACTAGCTATGTCTATGATCAAGTCATTTTAGCTTTCTTGGCCTCAAATTACTTATCTGCAAAATGGCTATAATTTTGTATCAACCTCCAGGGTTGTTGTGAGGACACAATCATAATTATGTGATGTTCCAGAGGCACCATGGGCCTAGTAGATCTAGAGCCAACCTGGAAGTCAGGAAGACCTGGATCCAAATTTGTGAACAAAGGCAAGTCACTTTATCTCGAAGCAACTAGGCAACTCCTGAACACTCTAAATTTCAGAGAAGGTGCTAAGCAGCATTGGTAGAAGGAGTTTAATCATTTGAGAGTTGTCTCCAGTAATGACATCAAAAGTCCAGTCTCTATTTAAAGTGCTATATAAATGTTAGCTATTAATATGAGCTTACAGTGAAACAGCTACACATACAGTTCTTAGTCTTCATAATTTTGTAGAAAATCAGAGTAGAAAGGTACCATAAAGGTCACTTAACCTAACCTCTTTATTAACAGTATCTGTAGTACCTATTTCACAGGAATGTTATGAAGATCAAAAAAGAAAACCTATGCAAAGTGCTGTGGAAAACATTAGATTTTATATAAATAATAGCAGCTATATAGGGTTTTGCAAGCCCTGTAGATAAGTTTTTTCATCTTATCCTTGTAATAACCCTGTGAGGTAGGTGCTATTATTATCCCTAATAACCTTCTGCTTGGACTCCCAGCCTCGAATCTCTTTCCATTTCAGTCTGTCCTCCACTCAGCTGTCAAATTCCAAAAGCACACATCTGACCTCAACCCTGTATTCAATAAACTCCATTGGTTCCGTATCACACCTCTGGGATCAAGTATAAAATTCTCTTGTGTGGCATTCAAAAAAGCCCTTTGTGAACCTACCTTTCCTGTTTTCTTATACATAACTTCCACCCCTCCATTTACTCTGGCATCAGTATCACTGGCTTCCTTGCTATTCCTCAAAAAAGATATATCATCTCTAGACTTGACACTTGCTGTCCCCCTGTGTCTGGAATGCTTTCCCTCTTCTCTGCTTCCTAGCTTCCCTTAAGTCCCAGTTAAAATCCCACCTTCTACAAAGGAGCCTTTACTTTAATAAGCCTTAATGCTAGTGCCTACCCTCTATTGATTATTTCCAATTTACCATACACATATATGTGTGTATATATATATATACACACACATACACATATACATACATACATATGTATCTTTTTTGTATATAGCAGTCAATCTTTTGCCTTTTTTTTAGGTGGGGGGAGGGCCTGAAGTACTTAGTACAGTGCCTGGCACATAATAGGCAATTAATAAATGCTTACTGATTGGCTAACAGATGAGGAAACTGAGGCAGGGGTTAAATGACTTTCTCATGCTCACACAAATTTTAAGTGTCTGAATAGAGACTTTAATTCAAGTCTTCCTGACTGCAAGTCCAGAAGTTTAGTTTATAGCACAGCCTCAAACTGAGTAGTTTTCTATTTCCAATCCAGTTCACTTTTCCACTGCACCAGGCTGTACTGATTTTAAATTTGTATTCTATTCTTTTTTTTTAAACACGTGAATCCTATTGGTATCAGTGTATTTAAGAATGCGTTTCCCATTGGGCAGAAAAGTATTGTGCCTAGGCGCTGGGGATAAAAATTCCAGCCAGTATTTTTCCCATAGCAAATGATCAATAAAATTGATGAAACTGAATTCAATTTTGTGGTTGTACCAAAATCTGGGATTTAGAGACAATTTAAAGGGAAACCATCACTTGTCCTAAATACTGCTCTAGCCTGTAATCTACAAGGGGTGTAGCACAGGGACTCATTCCCAATATACCAATTTTCCAAGAATTTGGCACAGTGTCTGGCATGCAGTAGGCGCTTAATATATGTTTACTAAGATTGGTAGTCTCTGCTGTCATCGTACGAAGCACCTATGAACAAAAGCGCAGCACTAGGCACTGGGAGAAGACAGCTCTGGGAGGACGCGGCTCCTGGCCTCACGGAGGTCACTCGTTCCTAAATGCCACTAGATTTCTCCCCTGAGAAGAAGCTCCCGTCTCTACTCCCCAAGGTTGTCCGAGGAGTGGCCATCACAAAGGGCGGCCCCGCGGGCCGGGCCAAGGGACCACGAACGTCCTCCGCCCTCCTGGAGACCCCCACTCCCTCGCCTGTCCTCCGAGAAGCGAGTGTGAGGCTGCACGAAAGAAACTGAAGCCCACACCTAGAGCCTCCCGGCTTCTGCCCCCCTCTCGAATCATGCACTCACCTGCAGGCCGGGATGCCGAGCGCCGAGAGCTCCGCCAAGGGCAGCAGCTCTCTTCGAGGACTCTAGCCCCGACCTCCGGCGCCGTCACGTCCTGCGAGACTCCACCATTCCCTGCGCTGGGGGGAAGGCGAGGGGTGCTGGAAAGTCACACCCTCCGTCCTTTTCTTGTTTGTCCTTGACCTCCGGATAGATTTAAAAATTCTGAGACTTCTTCACCAGTGTGGCTTGCGTGGAACCTCCCAGGCTGGGTCGAGTCACTGTTCGTGCCCCACGCTGTGCCTCTGCCCCCCGGGGAGAAGTGGTAGTTCCCAGTTCGCCCCGCCTCTCTTTCGCCCCTCCCCCAACATGGCGGCTGCCAGCCAGCGCTTGCTGTTGGCGGGTAGTGGTGGCGGCTGCTGTTGCTGAAGAAGCTGCTGCTTCTTTCATTCGGGCTCCGACCTAGAGAAGAATTGTAAAGTGAGGGAGGTAGGAAGGAAAGACGAGAGTGCTGAGGGAGGGCCGAGGAGGTAAGTGATAGTGCAAGAGCAGAGGAGGGAAATCGGCCGGGAGAGTGGGGCTCCTGGGCCTCCGAGAGGACGGGCGAGAATCTCGCTTAGGCGCCCGCAGGCAGGCGCCTCAGACGATGCCCCGCGGCGGCCAGCCTCATGCTTGCAGGCCCGGAAGTTACAAAGCGATCCGGAACAGCCGGGCGGTGGGAGCCTTCCTAGACTAGTCGCCTCCTTGCTCCGACGCTTCTCTTCCTCCTTTGGCACTCCCCCCCTCCCCCCCCCCGGAGTAAATAAAGTCCCCTCCTTGACGCCTGTTTCCGCTTGACCTCCACCCGTCGCCGCTTAGCCGGTGTCCCTGCGGCTTTCCTCCCAAGGGTCAGCGGGCTGACTCTTCCCCCTCTCCCCTCCGGCGCCCAGTTGTTCCGCTGTTTCTGTCCATTACCATTTACCAGCCTGCTGACCACCTTGGACGGCGTCACCCTCGTCTTGACTGCCCTTCGGAGGCTCAGCATCCCCCGTCCTATAGAAAGCAGCGAGTCAGAAAGCGGGGAGCGGGAGAAAGTGGAGCCTGGCGTGCCCCATAGCCCCGGGGCGCGCCTTGTCACGTTTTGGCCCCGAACCTAGCTCAGAATAAGCATTTAATAAATTTAAATCGAAGCTTTTTCTTTTTTTGTTGCCGTTCTTGCATGGGGCTAACTCAACGAAAAAAGAAAAACATTACAGAACTGCTACCAGTTGTCTTTATTTTCACTAATCTCTAATTGAAATGTAGCATTTTCTTCAATTATTTTAAGACATTATTCAGAGAAGGTACCTAGGCTTATGCCAAAGGGTCTATGGCACGAACGAGGTTAAGAACCCCGGTCATGAATAAACACAGATAACCACCTCCTTTCCAATACCTGTTAGATCTTAGAATTTGTATTTCTGCCCCCTCATGTCTTGTTTCTGCTCTTGTCATTGTCACCCACAACAGGCATTTATTGAGTTCCCACATGTTCGATTTATGTTAGGTTTTAAGGGTGAAATAATAATAGCTCTCATCCTTAAGTCTCTTTCAAGGATTACATGGTCTTCCCTATAAGAGTGTGTGAGTGGGTAGAGCAAGTATTGTGCTCTTTTTACAGATAAGGAAATTAATGCTCAGAGAAATTAAGTGACTAGTCAGTGGCTGCACAGCTAGTAGCAGAGCTGGGACTGTCTGTTATCCAGTTCTTCTGATTCTGTGTCCAGTGTAGCTTTTTTTCTTAATAGATCACAGTGATTTTCATGAAAGATGCAATCCTGTTCAGCTAAAGTTTAAGTGCCTAGTAAATTCAAGGCAGGGCAGGCACTAACTAGCGGTGTGACCCTGAGTAAGTCACTTAACCCTGTTTGCTTCAGTTCCTCTTTTGTAAAATGAGCTGGAGAAGGAGGTGGCAAACCACTCCACTATCTTTGCCAAAAAAAAAAAATAACAAAGAAAACCCAACCTGGAATGGGGTCGTAAAGATTTAGTCATTAAAAGAACTGAACAACAAAAATTCAAGGTAGTAGAGCTCCAAAGACAGACACAATAGTCTGCGAGGAGAAGGAGCTTACCTACTGTTGAGGGGACATAATATGGAACCAGATAAGCAAATTTAAAGTAAATTGAGGAAGGAGAGAACATTAACACCTGGGAAAAGGCTTTTCATAAGAGATGGCTCCTGAACTAATAGTAAAATGAAGGTGAAGATTCTTAGAGAGTGGATAAGGCAAGGGATGCCTTCCAAGTAGGTGGTACAGACAACCTATGCAAATAAAGGCATGGATGTGGAGATGAAATGCAAATTTAAGAAACATCTAGTAGTTGATTTTAGCTGAAATGTGGTCATGTGTCCAGAGGAGTAATAGGAATTAAGTCTGGAAAGATAGGCTGGAACCAGAAGATGGGTTTATTTTATTTTTTAAATAAATTTTTATTGATATCTATTGTTTTAACAAAGCCAAAATTTCTCTCAGTGTTGCTCCTCTCCTTCCCTCTCAGAAAGCTCTGTCCTATAACAGATTTTTTCTTTTAAAGAAAAAGAGGAAGAGGAACAAAATCAGCAAAACCAGTCAAGATACCAAGAAAGGCTGGAAATATATGCAGTGTTTCACATCTGTGGATCTCCTTTCTCTGCAGTGGAGTTAGGGAGAAGGGGGAGATAATTTCTCATATCCTTTTTAGGAGATATGTTCTTTATAATTTTACAGTGCTCAGTTTCAGTTATTTTGTGGAGGTGACTCTTTCCATTTACACTCTTGTAGCCACTGTGTATATTGTTATTTTGACTTTGCTTACTTAACTCAGCATCAGTTCATGTGAATCTTTCCATGCTTCTCTGCATATTTGTCATTTCTTTCCATTACATTCATATACTGTAATTTGTTTATCCATTCCTCAAATAACAGGCATCTCCTTTGTTTCCAGTTCTTTGCTATCACAAAAATATTGCTATAAATTTATGTGTATATATATATATATATATATATATATAGGAATATTGCTTTCTATCTGCGCCTACTCAGAGTATAACCCCAGTGGTGGAATCTCTGGATTAAAAGTCATGAACATTTTGGTCACTTCATTTGCATAATTCCAAATTGTTTTCCTGAATAGTCGTACTGATTCACCTCTCCACCAACAGTATACAAGTGTGCTTATCTTCCTATGATCCCTCCAACATTGACTGTTCTTATTTCTTATTATCTTTGCCAATTGCAGGGTGAACCAGAAGATTGTTTTGAATTGCATTTCTCTTATTAATGATTTGGCTCGTTCTTTTATGTGTTTGTTAGAAGTTTGCAATTCTCCTTTTGGGAACTATTTGTTCTTATCCTTTAATCACATATATTGGGGGATAGCATTTAGTCTCATACCATGAATACCAAAGCAAACTTTACCATCATATCATTACATGGAAATAGTTTTTTCCCCCTTTGCCTATCTTTTTCATTTTAATTCTTTTCTGATAGTATTGTTATTTCTAGCATAGAAGTAGAACTTTGTCAAGTATCTATGGCCCCATATCAAATAATAGTGGGGAGCTCAGGCATTTTGCTTTACTCCTGTAATTCACTTAATTTTTCCTTTATTACTTTATATAGTATGTTTTGCATGATTTCACATATATAATTGATGTCATTTTGCTTGCCTTCTCAGTGGCAGAGAGAGAATTTGGAACTCAATTTAAAAAAAAGAATGCTAAAAATAATATTTTTTAAAAGGGAAAAGTTAAATATATAAACTATAAAAGTGAATTTAGATACTAAGGCATTTTGAGCATATGAGTTTAATATTGATAATAGTTTATGATTTAGCATAATAATTTCCTTGTTCATCTATTTTGTGAATTTCTATTTTTCTTTCATCTTTATTTGCATGATTGAAATTTCTAATTTTAAAAAAATTCACCTAAGGCACAGTAAATTTTATTCCAGCTCCTTTTTTATTGTGTATATGCCTTTGGTTTTTAGGTGTATTTGTTGTAAACAGTTGATTGTGGGATTTTGTTTTCTTATCTAATCAGTTACTCTTTCAATTTTATTGGGTTGTTTTATGCATTGAGTTTTAAAGTTATAAGAGTTAGGTTTATATTTTCCTCCATTTGTCTCTAGTAGTGTTTTTCTTAATGGGATTTTAAAAATTCCTTCCCTCTCTTTATTTTTTTAAAATTTATTTATTTATTTTTAGTTTTCAACATTCACTTCCACAGGATTTTGAGTTCCAAATTTTCTCCCCACCTTGTCCCACCCCAACCAAAGATGTCATGCATTCTGAATACCCCTTCTCCTAATCTGCCCTCCCTTCTATCCCCCCCTTCTCTTATCCCCTTCCCCTTCAATTTTCCTGTAGGGCAGGATAGATTTCTATACCCCATTTCCTGTATATCTTATTTCCCAGTTGCATGTGAAAACAATTTTTTTTTAACTTTTGTTTTTAAAACTTTGGGTTCCAAATTTTCCCCCTTCCTCCCTCCCCACCCACCCTCATTGAGAAGGCAAGCAACTCAATACAGGTTATACATGTGTAGTCATGCAAAACACTTCCATAGTAGTCATGTTGTTAAAAACTAAGTATATTTCCCTTAATCCTATCCCACCCCCATATTCTCTCTTTTGACCCTGTCCCTCTTTAGAAGTGTTTGCTTTTGATTACCCCCCCCCTCAATCTGCCCTCCCCTCTATCATCCTCCTGCTCTCTTGTCCCCTTCCCCCCCTATTTTCCTGTAGGGTAAGATAGATTTCCATACCCAATTGAGTGTATATGTTATTCTCTCCTTATGCCAAATCCGATGAGAGTAAGATTCACTCATTCCCTCTTACCTTCCCCAGTTTCCCCTCTACTGTAAAAGCCTTTTCTGTTTTATGTGAGATAATTTACCCCATTCTACCTCTCCCTTTCTCCTTCTCTCCATATAATCCTCTCTAACCTCTTAATTTTACTCTCTAGATATCACCCCTTCATCTTCAACTCATCCTGTGCCCTCTATTTATCTATCTATCTATATACATATATACATATAATTTTTTTCCCTCCAACTGCTCTAATACTGATGTTTCCATGCAGAATGTAAACAGTTCAACTAACCTTAATAAGTCTCTTATGATTTGTCTTTCCTGTTTACCTCTTCATGTTTCACTTGAGTCTTATATCTGAAAGTCAAATTTTCTATTTAGCTCTGGTCCTTTCATCAAGAATGCTTGAAAGTCCTCTATTTCACTGAATGTCTATTTTTTCTCCTGAAGGATTATGCTCAGTTTTGCTGGGTAGGTGACCGCTTTCCCTTTAAAGAGAGTACTTTTTCAGATCAGCTAGGTGGTACGGTGGATAAAGCACTGGCCCTGGATTGAGGAGGACCTGAGTTCAAATCTGGCCGCAGATACATAACACTTACTAGCTGTGTGACCCTGGGCAAGTCACTTAACCCCATTGCCTAGCCAAAAAAAAAAAAAAAGGAAAGGAAAAGAAAAAAAAGAGTAGTTTTTCTCTTCTTTAAGGCAGTTCCCACAGCTTCTCTTTCTCTTACCCTGCAGTCACTCCTTCACTCCATTCCTTGCCCCACTCCACCCCTGCCCCCCACCATTTTAACCTTAGTTTTGCTAAACTTAATTCCCTTTTCTTTCTTTCTTTTTTTTTTCCCGTTAATCTGGGTATCCAGTTCTTTCCCTTTTTTCCCCTCTCAAGTAAAATTCTCCTTCCTCTCACTTTCAATCTTTGATTTGTTTTCTTTTTTCCAGAAAGGATTTCTTTCCCACATTCTCTTCATTCATTCTCTTTCTCTTCTATCTCTTCAAGACTGATTCATGATCCTTACTTTTTTTATTCCTTCTTTATTTTGTATTCTTAAAGCTTCTAAAGTAATTTTTGAGTTCTTTCTCTTAACAATTTCTGTGCTATTACTTTGTAAAAGTTATAAACCCCTCCCCTCTCTCTTTTTTCTATTGTGTTTGAGTCTTAGAAGCATCAGTTCCTGCAGGAGTTAGAAAGAAAATTGAAGTATTGCCCCATGGTAAAAATTTCCCCATGTCCCTGATTTTGTGGTCTGTTTCTACTTTCTGCCTTTTTCCATCCCATGCTTTTTATTGGCACTTTGTTTTCTGTGTTCACAAGTTACATGTAGTTTTTTTTTTAATTTAACAATTCGTTTTCTTGTATTAATTTTTCCATTATGATGTTTAGGTTTTTTTATTTGTTTCTTTTTCTTCTGGGAGACTTATAATCCTCAAGTTGTCTTTGTGCATCTTGTCTTTGAGATTAATATGTTTTGCTTGTATGGAGATTACATTTTTAAGATTATGTTTTAATATTATTGCTTTTTGCTTTTCTTCTAGATTGTCCCTTACTTCTATGTTCAGCATTCTCAATCAACTGTTCTCTCTTTCGTTTCTATGGATTTCAGTTTTGTTTTGGTTTTTTTTTTTGTTCTTCCTACTGTTTCTGCTGTACAGGCCATAAATGCTGCTTTTATCCTTCTTATTTCTCTCTTGAACCAATTGGTCCTACTATGAGACCATGCTCTCTTGAGAATTCACAGAGTCCTCTGCCTTATCAGGTGTTGATTCAATTTCCTTTGTCTTGAAATATTTAGAGATGTTTTAACTCATTTGGATGTCCTAGGGTCTGTTTTTCTTCTGTTTTGGTATATTCCCTATTGATATAGCTTCTTGTACTTAAGGTTTTAAACTGAATTTTCTTCCTCTTGAGATCTTCAGTATTCCCACTTGTATTCCCCTATTGCATACTTTCTAACTCCTTCCCCTTTGATAGCAGATTCACCTGGGGAGATTGGGCATCAAAGCTTACACAGTCTTCTCTTGCATTGGGGAATTCACATTTCACTATTCTCAGTCCCATCCCCAAGTAACTTCTGAGGGGACAGAACTGACACTGGCATAGTGTCCCCAGTTCCCTCCGCTTTTTAGTTCTCTGGCTGAGTGCTACTCTTACAACCCATTTCTGCATCAGGCAGAGTGGCATCCCCGGGCACAAATAGATTCAGGTTGTATAACCCTGCCAGAGTGTGGGAACTGATGGAGGGGGTAGTGCTTAGTGAATGTGTTAAGGAATTAGCCTTCTTTACCATTAATTCATGGGATTGTTACTTCTTTAGACTTCTTAGTGTTTTGGTCTGTGGAGACAGCTGTAATCATTTTACTTTTTGCATATAATTTTTATGTTGGGGAGTTTTGAGAATTCATGAGAATTGAAAAAGATAACTAATCTGCCATCTTGTGCCATCATGTGAGTCAGAAGCCTTGGATGGATTTCACTGACAGCCTAAAAAGTTTGTATTTTATTCTAGAGACAATAGGAAGCTGAAGATTTCTCAGAAGGATAGTGACGTGGTTAGACTTGAAGATTATTTTGCCAAATGAATGGAACTTTGATTGGTGATTAGAGAGATTAGGAGCAATGATAAAATTAGAAAGACTATTAAGATGTGATGATGATGTCACTAATAATTAAAGTGATGGTATTTGTGCTTTTGCTCAGCAATTTTAATGTATTATCTCATTCAGTTACCATTAATTTACATGTATTTATCAGTTTGGTAAAGACTTCAATTTCATTGTCAAATACATTTGTAATGATATTTTTCTTTCTTTTGAAGGAACCTTTCTATTTGCTGACCTTGGGATGAAAAAATGACATCTATCATCAAACTAACTACCCTTTCGGGGGTGCAAGAAGAGTCTGCCCTTTGCTATCTGCTTCAGGTTGATGAGTTTCGATTTTTATTGGACTGTGGCTGGGATGAGCACTTTTCAATGGATATCATAGATTCCCTTAGGAAGTAAGTAATTGCCAATTTTAATACTTTTTTTTTTGGCTATACTTTAGTGCCTTTGTGGTGTAATCAAAAAATGTTTAATATTCTTTTTGAATGTGCTCATAGTAAAAGGTAAATTAGATATTTAAAATTTTATTTAAGATAGTGGTTAAAGAGTTAAGTAGCTTCATTTTATATCTGGTTGCCTTTATAGGATGTGCCTGTAGAAATGCTACAAATTTTTAATTTTTAATTTTTAATTTGCCAATGTTTTTCTGTATCCTGCTTTTAGGAGAGAGACAAATTGCCAGAATGAAGTTCATGGCAGAGATTTAGAGAGGAATCTGAAACTTCAAGGGAGTGTTCTAGAGTCAAGATACATCTAGCATAATATCCTATACTATATTTTATTATGTTGTTTGGTTGTATTTGACTCTTTGTGACCCTGTTTGGGGTTTTCTTGGCAAAGATACTGGAATGGTGTGCCATTTTCTTCTCCAGCAACTGCAATATTCTATGATGAAAATTGGTGTTTAGATTGATAACTTTAAGATGTTATGGGATTCTAACCCATCAAAGAAAGACCAAATTCTTTTCACTACTCATTAGTGCAGCAATACATGTAAAAAAAGATGTTTGACAAACAGAGGTTGAAAAAAAATGTATTTTCTGGTTTGATGCTCAATCAGCCAAAATACCCCCTTCTCCCAAGCATCCTGGTTAATTTGAGGTTTTACCATAACTGGGTATGTCAGTCATCATCCAGAAAACTGAATTAAAATCCATAGCAAAGAGGTAGGTAGAAGTAACATCATTCCCTGAGTACCTGCTAAAATTCTAACTTGAATGCATGAATCTTAAGCAGGAATACATAGCTCAACCACAATTAAATTCACTCTCCAGATTTTCATTTTATTTATTTATTTAGCTTTTTTTTTTTTTTTTTTGGATAGGCAATGGGGTTAAGTGACTTGCCCAGGGTCACACAGCTAGTAAGTGTCAAGTGTCTGAGGCCAGATTTGAGCTCAGGTCCTCCTGACTCCAAGGCTGTAGTTCTATCCACTGCGCCACCTAGCTGCCCCAGATTTTCATTTTTTAAAAGCATTGTTTCTGAACATTGTATTTTAGGTTATGTTTATAGTTACAGACTACCCTGTTACTGTTGTTAAGGAGAACAGGGTAGCATTATGATTGACATCCATAATCCCATTTTTGCTCTTAATTTCACCCTATCACAAAATATTGATTTGGGATTGCTAACAAGCATTAGAATTGACTAATTTGAATTTGTCATCTTATTTCTACCTTGGGAATAAGATAATTATCACTCATATTTCTAAAGCACTTTAAAGTTTACTGAGAGCTTTCTTCACAACAATCCTATAAGATAGCTAGGGCAAGTGTTATCCCTATTTTATAGATTAGAAAGATGAGGCTAAGTGACTTCTCTACAATACCGCTTAGCTGGTGTCAGAACTTGGATTTGAATCTAAATTTCCTTACTACAAGTTCATTCTTTCCATTATACTGTACTACCCCAGTAGATGCCAGAAACTGATCATTTTGATTGTGTTCTTCTAGACATGTTCACCAGGTAGATGCAGTACTGCTCTCTCATCCTGATCCTCTCCATCTTGGTGCCCTCCCATATGCTGTTGGAAAATTGGGTTTGAATTGTGCTATCTATGCAACCATTCCTGTTTATAAAATGGGACAAATGTTCATGTATGATCTTTATCAGGTATATTTTTTTTTTATATCTTCAGATTTTTAGCCTTGACAATTTTTTTTTTAACTAACCTTTTCTTTCCTTGTGTATTGTTCTTTTAGTCTCGTCATAATACAGAGGATTTTACACTTTTTACACTGGATGATGTGGATGCAGCTTTTGATAAAATACAACAACTCAAATTCTCTCAAATTGTGAATTTGAAAGGTAATAACTGTTGGAATTAAGAGAAAAAACTAAGCTTTTGCCAGTAAAACTTTCAGACCTTCTGAAAACACTAAATTTCATGTTGCCTGTGGGAGTTAGAGAAAGCTTCTTCCAAACAGTTTAAAGGTCAAAATAATCCCAAACTAAATTATGAACAGAATGATGATCACATCAGACTTTATGATGCATGTAGTCTTTAAAAAGTTGAGTTTGATCAATGAAGCCACGTAGTTGTAAACTGAGTCTTTACTGTGTATCCAACAATGGCGTGAGGGAGAGGGGTGGGGTGGGGAGCAGCCGAGAGTCTGAGAGGAGATAATAAGACTTTTTAATGCTTTTTGTTTTCATTTCACAGTCATTTCCTACTGTTCCTCCAGGTTTAACCCTCCCTTATGACAAAGGAAAACACTTAAGCCAAAACATCTGCCGCAGAGACCATATCTGACAATCTATACAATAGTCTGTGTTTCCTAGTAGCCTTCTTCCTCTCAGCTGTGAGGGAGAACTTATGTTTCATCATCTGCCCTCTAGGACCTTTGTTAGTTTTTCAGTTGCTGAGCCCAGCTTTCTTGTAGTGATCTTTTAATTTACATTGCCGTTGTTATGGTATAGTTGTCCTTTTGGTTCTCCTTATTTTGCTATATCAGATTATATAAATTTTCCCATGTTTCTCTGAATTTCCATATTCATCCTTTCGTACTGCATTTCACCTACCATGGGTTTTTTTGGGTTTTTTTTAGCCATTCCCCAGTTAATGGGCACTCACTTTTTTTTTTCCAATTCTTCACTAGTATAAAGAATCTTGCTATGACTTTTGTTGTATTTTAAACCTTTCTTTCTGTCTTTGACTTCCTTCAGGTATATGTCCAGTAGCAGGATTACTGAGACAGACATTGAGTTTCCTTTTTTTTGCATAATGCAAATAGAAATCCAGATTGGTGGTGTAGAATCCAGAATTAAGTGCTCCTGAATCTGCAGTATCAGCATCTTTCATCTCATAATCCCTTAACATTGATTGTCCCTGCCGCTTTTCTTTTTTGTTAATTTAGTGGATCAGAGGTGAAATGTCAAGGTTGTTTTGGTTTGCATTTCTTTTATTGCTAAGCAGAAAGAGCCTGGCTTTGATTTTATTTCAGCCAGAAGCTGGATTTGGAACATGTTTTCAAGTTAGTAATCTATACGTGGAATTTATTCTTTTTAAAAACAGTTCGTATGTATTTGGAAATGGCTCTTGATATTATGTATATGTATCCATTACATACATATATGGTGTGTGTGTGTGTGTGTGTGTGTGTGTGTGTGTGTGTGTGTGTGTAGGATATCAGACTTCTATTGGTTATATTTAATACAAATATTTTTGTACTCCACAATTTCTTAATTTTATTTTCATTGATCTTATTTGTGCAAAGCTTTTTAAATTTGAAGTATTAAAAAATGGTGTTATCTTTTATGATCTCTACCATCCCTTGTTTGGTTAAGAACTATTCCTGTGGCCATAGTTGTGAAAAGTGCATGAGGTCTCATTTAAATTTTTTATGATATGACCTTTTATATTCAGTTTGCATGTATCTTTTGGACTTAAGAATATGATATAAGATGTTGTTCTAACCCTAATTTCTGCTAAACTGCTTTATATTTCGCCCAGCAATTCATGTCAAACGGGTAGTCCTTCCTTTAGTGAGTTATGTTCTGGAATTTATCAAACACTGGGGCTACTGTTCTTAGTTGCTTTTGTCTCTTGTTTAAGTCTGTTTCATTGATCTACTTTTTAAAAATAAATACCAAATTGTTTTTATGGATACTGCTTTATAGTAGGGTTTGAGGTCTGGTAATGCTATGCCCTTTCATCCATACTTTTTCTTCTTTTTCTCTTGATATGCTAGATCTTTTGTTACTCTAAATTAATTATGTTGCTATTTTATCTAGTTCCAAAAGTATCCCCTCTAATTTGGTGTAGCTCTCAATCTGCAAGTTAATTTAAATAATATTGTCTTTTAAAAAAATATTCACATTGCCTAGCCATAGATCTTTCTTAATTTCTTTGAAGAATATTTTGTGGTTGTAACCAGATAAATCTCGTGTATGTCTTGTTAGGTTAACTTCTGGATGTTCATGCATTTTGTAGTTATTTTAAATAGAGTTCCTGGTTTCATTAGTGTTACATAAAAATGCACATTACTTACTTTGTGAGGCATTCTTTCTGGTTTTTTCTGTTCTCTGGTTCACTGCTACTCCCTTTTTTCCTTCGGCAAATGATTGTGAGCATCAGAGAATACATTCTGCTACACTTAGAAGAAAACTAGTCTCTTATGACAGGGTGTTGTTACTAGTGGCCCATTTGTTACCTGAGGGAAATTTTCCCTCATTTTGGTGCCCACTTCCAATCTTGAGCAGTCACTATGTGGGGAATTTAGAGAAAGGCTGTGATCTGTGCCAGCAGACACGTGAATCATAATCCCATATTCACAAATGTATTGTCAACAAAGTCTTAGTGTTACTATTTTTTTGTTGATACAGGCAAAGGGCATGGTTTGTCCATCACACCTCTGCCAGCTGGTCACATGATAGGAGGAACAATATGGAAAATAGTTAAAGATGGGGAAGAAGAAATTGTTTATGCTGTTGACTTCAATCACAAGAGGGAGATGTATGTATATCAATGAAGTTATTATGGGAAATGCAACTGGATATGCATTATAATTTCATTTTCATGAAGTTAGAATTGGAAAGTTAAAGTGCTTATTTAAATTAGATTCAGTTGTTTTGTCCAAATCTCTTGATTTGGATTAACTCAAAAACATCAAATGTCAAGAACCTTAACTACGGAAGGGCTTTCCTTATTTTCAAAGTGACTCTTACATTAGTTGATCCCCTCCTCCCTTAATTTTCTGCAAATAAACATAATTAGATTTTTGTGGGGGGGGAGAGAGAGAGGTGGCTGTGAAAATTGGCATGGCAAGTTATTTTCAGTATGTGTGTGTCACTTACATACTCTATATGGTGTCAGACTAAACTTATTGACTTAGAAAACAATATATTAACACTGTCTCTGTTCTATTATATTTTTATTTATTTTGTTAAATACTTTCCAATTACATTTTAATGTGGTTTGGGCTACACTCTGGGATTAAGGGCCTGTGTTTGACACTTCTGCTCCATATAACCGATACTCCTAGAAATATGGCATGTATGTTGAATTTTCAATGCTTGCTACTTAAAAGACCCTTGTGGTTCCTTTTTATAACACAAAAAATTACTCTCCATTTTAGCTGTTTTGTAAATTTTGATTTTCAAAAACAGATTTTCTTAAGTAGAGCACATACATAACGCTGCATTTATGTCATCATTATAAAAATATTTTGGTGTTAATTTGGTGTTAAAATTAGTTTTTTCTTTGTGAGCATAAAAGTTATAACTTTTATATTGGGTTACAGTTTTTGCATTAAGATATTCTGTGTCTTATATTGAGAATTAAACTCTTGTTTACAGTCACTTAAATGGATGTTCCCTGGAAATGTTAAGCAGACCTTCATTGCTTATCACAGATTCCTTTAATGCTACTTATGTACAGCCGAGACGAAAACAAAGGGATGAACAACTACTCAGTATGTATTTTGTTATATTTAATTCAGCAGTAGATTGTAGAATAAATTACTGTTATATACTATTCCATGTACCTGCCATTCTTCATGGTGATAGTTGAATTGACCACCTTAAAGGAAATAAGGTTTATGTGTGTTCTTCTCTTCCAGTGTTCTATTTTAAATTTCTGTAATCATGATAACATTTAACACAAGAATCCATTGCAGTTGATGCTAATTCTGTAGTCTTTGCATTATCATCAGAAAATTTTTCATTCCAGGTTGACTTTTCACCTATTACCTTATACATGTCTAATTCTATCATCAGTTGTTATAATGCCCAGAGAATTTTGATGTTTTTCTAAATCACATTTTTCTAGAACCATCTGCTAAACATACATACAGTCACACATACACACGTCAAATGTATGTTTAAATTCTTTTATTGTACTAGAATTTTATTATATCAAATATTCTTTGAAGTGGGTTGTCAGGTGACATTGCAAGTCTCCTCAGTGTATAGATTTTTTTCTGTTGCAATTTTTTGTATACCACATTTCAAAGGCCAACGTATTTTTATTGTATTTTATACTGTTCCCCTCTATTAGTGCAGACAGTTCAGTCATTGACTTTTTCCATGTTGCATTTAAGAAAGCAAAACCCAATATTTCATGATGTCCTTATCTTGGTATCAGTTTGGCCCTCAATTATTATGCCAAATCAGAAACAAAATGTTTATTCAAAACTTTCATATTTTCATTCTGTAAACATGAGGATGAAGAGAAAGATAAAATTACCTTTCTTTAATACTGGATCAGAGTGTTTTTATCCAAATTTTACGTTCATATTTTTCTAGCAAATGTCCTGGAAACACTTCGAGGTGATGGGAATGTGTTAATAGCTGTGGACACAGCAGGCAGAGTTTTGGAACTTGCCCAACTTCTTGATCAGATTTGGAGAACTAAAGATGCAGGACTGGGCGTATACTCATTAGCACTCCTGAATAATGTCAGCTACAATGTAGTGGAGTTTTCTAAATCCCAGGTTTGTTTTATGTGATTATGTGTAATATGTAATACATGGGGTTGAAGATTTAAGATAGCAATTCAAGGTTGTGAGGATCTTTTGAGTTTGTTTGGTTTTTTTTTAAACAATCAGTTTTGTGCTAGTGTGTATAGAAAGTGTTCTTGATCCACTTCTTAGTTTCAAATTCTGCTGGTAGTTATATTTGTTCATTTTTATTTGTATGATCACTTGTTAGCCAAATTTCCTCATTGTTTGAATGCTAAGAATATTTGGGGTCATTTTCCTTTGGGGAAGGGATATCACTTGTGATGTTTTAGGCAATAAGAAGACATTTTACATAGTTAGGGTTTATACTTTGCCTTCCTCCATATATTTCTGAGAGGTCTTATAAATTAAACAGAATATAAAATTGTACAGTGAGGGATAAAAACAGAACAAAGAATATCCAAAGGAATTATATGGAAGACATGCTATTAGGCATCTGAAAAAGCTGATTACTGCTGCGGTAAGTGTGGTGTAGTGGAAAGAGCACTAAACTTGCACTTAAACCTGTGCTCTGGAAATGGTTCTCATGTGTACTGTGTGACTTTGGCTAACACAGGTTCTCTGGCCTCTAATTTCCTCATATGTAAAAGGAGGGGAGTTGGACTAGATGCCCTCTAAGGTACCTTTCAACTCTTTAATTAATTGAATTTGGCTTTAAATTTCTTGGTCACAAGTTAAAAAGAAATATTTTATTATGGAGTTTTCATAGTAAAATATTAAAATTTAAACTTAGTGATATATTTGTAGTGATTTTACATTGAGGGTTGTAATGTTCTTTGAGGAGTTTGGAGTAGAGTATATATTTTTTAATTTGAAATAGTTTATGAACACTTAGTTTGTGCCAAAACTAGATGGCATAGTAATTAACCATTTCTCAATGACTTATCTTTTCTCCCCCAATTAGGTAGAATGGATGAGTGATAAATTGATGAGATGTTTTGAAGACAAAAGAAATAATCCATTTCAGTTTCGTCATCTTTCTTTATGTCATGGTCTTTCTGATCTGGCTCGTGTGCCTAGCCCCAAAGTTGTACTTGCCAGCCAGCCTGATTTGGAATGTGGGTTTTCAAGAGATCTCTTTATTCAGTGGTGCCAGGACTCTAAAAATTCAATCATCCTCACTTATAGAACTACACCTGGAACATTAGCCCGTTTCCTAATAGATAATCCTTCTGAGAAAATCACAGAAATAGAGGTAAGAAACATGTTTTTAAGTTTTACCTAAAAATTTTTGAAGTATGTCATACAGGTGGATTACAAACAAATGTTATTTTAAAAATAATTATTGACATTTCAGTACAATTTTAACCTTTGTTGATAAATACTTTTGGTAAAAAAAAAAAACAGCATGTAAACTAATATCCATGTATGAAGTGTTAAAGCTTAACTATGTCATTGTGGAATAGAGCTTATAGCTTCTAATTCTAGTACATTCTCACAAGCTGGATCCTATTAATAAAATTTCTTTAATTTTTTGAACATCTTGTCATGTACAAAACAATGTTTATATTTATAACAATGACTCTGAGGTACTTCTGGAATCCAAAGGACATTTCAAATCAACACATTAAATTATGTTTAGTATAGTTTTAGTGTTTAGGATATTGTATTTGTATTCCAATTCTTTCAAAATTGTTAATGCATTTATGGCATATAATCACAAACTGCACAAATGGTACCTCAGCCAACACTGTTTCATAGTAATGTCACTGATTTTTAGCCAAATCTTGCTATAATATTATAAAATGCTGTTACGATATTGTTGAGTTGATCACGTGAAATTCATATTAGATGGTTACTTTCCAAAAGGAAAGTTTTTTTTTTAAAAACATATGTGTATTGATATCTTTGGTTTTTATATTGCCTATTCATCCCTCTCCTGTCCCCTAGAAAGCTACCCTTATATAAGAAATTTTTTTTTAAAGGCAGGAGAAAAAAAAATCAGCAAAACCGATCAGTATACTAACAAACCTAAAATTAAATGCAGTGTTTAATACTTCTGAATCCCCTTCCTTCCCCCCACAGACCCCCACATGCACAGGTTCCACCCCCCCACCCCCAGTCCTCCTCCATTCAAAGGTCTGGCAGGAGGTATCTTCTTTGGGACCATTCTTGTTTGTTTTGTGTTTTGTGTTTTTTTTTTTTTTACAGTGTCAAAATAGTCATTTTTCAGTTGTTTTGTTGTGTTTTTTCCATATACATTGTTGTAATCATTATGAATATTGTTTTCTGTCTCTGCTATACTTTTTTCATGTAAGTCTTCCCGTGTTTCTCTGTATTCATCATGTTTGCTTCTTAAAGCATAGTAATATTCCATTATATTTACATATCACAATTTGTTTAGCTGTTCCCTAATCCATACATATTTCCAGTTCTTTGCTACTACAGAAAGTGCTTAACCTAGCCCCTAGTTGTTGAGTACGCTTAGTGCTCAGTTCAGATGAAAGGCTTCAATTCCATATTGTCTTCTTGGATTTTTGAAAAGGCTCATTTTGGTCTTTGATAGTCAAATTTTGGACCCCCAGGAATCTATCTCCAGGTTGTAAGATAATTCCCTCGGAGCTACTTGCAATCTCATCAGTTTCCTAGAAACATGATGTTAGTCACGGTTTGTTTGTATATAGTGACCAAGATATTTCATCAGTTAGACTACTTCATTCCTTGATTTTGTCAGATAAGGGAGTTTAATATATTAACTATTTCATCATAGAGCTTTGCTGTGTGCAAGGCATTGTATTGAAATAAGATTCAAAAAACATTTTTAGAAATATTTAGAAACTGCAAAAGAGATCCTTTGCTAACAGTAAAATAAAGAAATGTAGGGACTTGTGGCTTAAATAAAATATTATGAAAATAATGCTTTTTCAGGGAGAGACAGTAAAATGTAATAAAAAAATTACTGCTTTTAAAATTTGGGAGCTTTGGGGTTTTGGCCATGTTATTAGCTAGTCTTCTGATCTTGGGCAAATCACTTAATTTTTCTGGGGTCATTTACCTAATTTGTCTAACTGCTAGTGGACTTCATGATTTTTAATGGCCCATTACAACCTTCTGAATCTCATCTATGAATATATGAGCATATTTAAGTACTAAATTATCTGAATTGTAAAATTATTTTAAGAAAATATGATTAAATGTCTTATCTGTGAGTGGTTATTAAAGTAAGACATTAGAAATTTTAAGTGAGTTTTAAGATTATAAAAGTTAGGCAGCATGATACAATGCTGGATTTAGAATCAGGGGCACCTGAGTTCAAGTATCTCTTAGAACACTTAGTAGCTATGTAATCATGGGCAAGTCATTTAACTTCTCTGGTCTTATTTTGCTCATTTGTATTTGTATTTGTATGATGGGGATCATAATACCTCCGATGTATTGTGAAGATCAAGTGAGGTTTGTCAAGTGATGTACATAAGTTAAAATATTATGTAAATTTCAGCTGCTGTTATATTAAACAACAAATAATGTGCTTACTATAGAAGAAAATTGATAACCTTAACTCTTGGTTTTATATGGTTTAGTTAAATCCACCCTGGTGCCATGATAATTCAGTTTTACTGTTAATGTAAACACCACCAGATACTTAATGTAATGAACCACTGAATAATTTCAGGAGAAAAAAATTTAAATTTAAAGATCATTCCTTTTCCACTCTCTTCCACCTTAAAATTAATAATAATTTCTTTGACACTTTCTTCAACCATTCTGCTTTAGTTGAGAAAACGTGTGAAACTTGAAGGAAAAGAACTTGAAGAGTATCTAGAGAAAGAGAAACTGAAGAAGGAAGCTGCTAAAAAGCTAGAACAATCAAAGGAGTAAGTTACTTAACATTTTTAAAACTTTTCAATTGTTATTAATATCTTTTGTTTATAAATCACCTTCCTTTTCACACACACACACACACCCCCTCCATATTCCCCACTCAGAAAATGATCCCCTATAATAGTGTACTCCAAACTTTTTTTGATCATACACCCTAATACGGGTATATTTACCTTTTAAAAATAAATTACATACACATACTACTCTATTAATAAACATGTAATCTATAAACCTCACACAAAAATATAAATCATAAAAGGATAAGATAAAGATGGAATATTAGCGGATTCTTCAATTAGTAGGGTATTACTGCAGTTTGAGTTAGGATAGTGACATGATCAGTCTTGTGGTTGGGGAAAATCACTTTGGCAACTGTGTAAAGGGTAGATTAGTGAGGGGAGAGATGTGAGGCAGGAGGCTGTTTCATTAGTCTAGATGAGTTTTGATAAGGGCCTGAAATAAGGTAGTGGTTCTATGAGTGGAAAGAAAAGAACAGGTGTGAGAGATGGTGTTTGTGGAAGCAGAAACAACCAGACTTAGCAACCAATAGTGACAAGTGAAGAGATTGAGAGTGAAGGGTGGACATTTTGTTGTATTGGCACAGTGCAGACATGAGCAATGAATATTCCTCAAATTCTTCAATTTTTTTTTATTTCTTTAAGGAGTTTGTTAGAATTGTGGCCCTGTAGGTATTGAATTGGGCTTTCGTAAATTGACTCCCAGATATTTTATGTGGCACTGGCTTCCTTTTCTATCATTCCCTCCTGGATTTTAGTGTTGCTCTATTGAAAATGCTGTTTATTTTTATGTGTTTCTTTTACAACCTTCAGCTTTACTGAAGCTATTAATTTTCTTCTTCTTCCTCTTCTTCTTCCTCTTCCTCTTCCTCTTCTTCCTCTTCCTCTTCCTCTTCTTCTTCTCCTTCTTCTTTTCTTCTTCTTCTTCTTCTTCTTCTTCTTCTTCTTCTCCTCCTTCTTCTCCTTCTTCTCCTTCTTCCCCTTCTTCCCCTTCTTCTCCTTCTTCTCCTTCTTCTTCTTCCCCTGTAGTTGTTTAAGTAAACTGTCATGCCATAAACAAAATGGGATGGTTTTGTCTTCTCTTTACCATTAATTACTTTTTCTCTTATGGCTATTACTGGTATTTCTAGAGCTATCTCAGCTGGGATTGGACCTGTGATATCATTGGCCTAAGAAACTCCCAGAGGAGAAAACTCTCTCTATCAGTGCAAGTTGGCACCATCTCTGCAGCCTTTAGGGTTTTAGAGAGTGGCCAGAGGCCCTGAGAGGTTGTTTTGCTCAGTTACACAACCAATATCTATAGATAGAAAGATAGATACAGATGGGACTATTTCAAATAACAGAAAGGAAAGGGGTATCCTTGATTTACTCCCATATTAATTGGGAAAGCTCCTGGTTTTCCCCCCTTTCCATTTATTTCTAACTTTTAGTTTTATTTTAAAAGGTTTTTTTATCATATTGTAAAAGCTCTCTTTATACCTATGTCTTGCAGAGTTTTTAGTATAAATAAGTGTTATATTTTATCAAATGATTTTTCTGCATCTTTTGGTATGTGGTTTTGGGTGTTTTTGTTTTTAATATGATTAATTATGTTATTTTCTAATGTTGAAGCATCTTTACATTTTTGGTATAAATCCAACTTGATTACTGTGAATAATTTTTTCAATATATGAATGTAGTATTTTTGCCAGGATTAAAAAGTCACTTTCAATACCAGTTCTTAAAAAAAAAATCGTGGCAGAGATCACATTGGATGAAGACTTACTTCAGAGAAGTTCTAATTTAAGGTTTAAATTTTTCTTTTGACTTTGTTATTGCTGTCTTAGGAGGAAGATTTATCTTTCACACAGTTGAAGCTTATACAGTTGAGCCAGCAGTGGTATTTCTATGATTTCATTACCTGACAACCAATGCCATGTTTTGTTAAATATTGTATTTTTGACTAAAAATTGGAATTTGAAAGCAATTGTATTTTTAAAACCTTATGGTCTATTTTTCAATATCATCTTAGGGCAGATATAGATTCTAGTGATGAGAGTGATGTTGAAGAAGATATTGACCAACCATCAGCACACAAAACCAAGCATGATTTGATGATGAAAGGTGAAGGTAGCCGAAAAGGAAGTTTCTTCAAACAGGCTAAAAAGTCTTATCCTATGTTTCCTGCCCCAGAAGAAAGAATTAAATGGGATGAGTATGGAGAGATTATCAAGTATGTGATTGAAACAAACTTTCCTTTTACTTAGCAATGAAAGTATCAAATATACTAGACTGTAAATCTGAAAGAATTATCTGAACTTAATGAACTTAATTTCTTATTTTCTGTTTACTGTATTAATTTTTGAGATCATAGAATTTAGATCTAGAAGGTGCCCTAGACCCTAACCCCCCTCGACATACAGATGAGAGAACTAAATCCAGAAGACATTAATTGATCTGTCCAGCATTACACAGATTCCAGTCACACCAGGTTGCCTCTGAAATAGAAGTTTTGGAAAGAGTTCAAAGAAAATAATTAAAGCTCTGAAAATAGAACATATAAAAAAAACTTAGAAAAAAGTGATAGATGATAGAGTAGGCTTCAAGTGTGTTAAGTTTCATATAGAAGATGATGTTCAGTTTCCATGAACACTAAAGATAGGACATGAAAATGATTACACACACACACACTCCCTTTTATAGATGAGTAGAGTGAGGAACAAAAGTTTAAGTGACTTGCTGAAACATACATAGGTAGCAAGTGGCAAAACCAGGATTCAGACCCAAATTTTATGACTGCGCATCCAGGACTCTCATACTATACAATGCTAATTTTTCTTTTTTCTTATGGTTTATATTTAAACTTGATAGTTAGTCTTTAAAATAAATGTAAGATGTTGTAAAATCTTTGAGGACAAAGACTATCTGGTTAGGAGAATAAGACCATCACATAACTGAAAAAGGCTGCCCAAGCCAATTCTATTTTACAGATGAAGAAACAGAGGCCTAGGGAGGTTAGGTGACTTGTCCATGGTGCTAAGTCCATAGTATTAACTTTGAATAGTAGTTCAAAGAAGGAAGAAATTGATATGGGCTGGTGTGGCTGGGACAGTCTTCCCACCCATTTTATTAGTAGAGCATAATGCATTATTAAATCTTTTAAGGGCTCAGTATTGGAGATTCCAAAAGACTCCTTTATAGAGTAGTTAGAGATGTATGGGTGGGATCCAGAGAGATCAGTGATTTGCTCCATGTCACACTGCTTGCTAGGACAAAACGAGGACTGGAACCCAAGGCTTCAACTCCTAGACTGGTGTGCTTTTTCTATTTCTCATTTCTCGTCTTCAGAGTATACTTGTGAGAAGGTGAAATTGAAATGGGATTTGAAGACCAGATAGGATTTAGATAGGCAGAATGCTTTCTGGGTAATGGGGAGAACACCTCCAGAAAGTCACAGAAGTGGGACTACGTGTGTGAGAAAATGTTAGTCTGACTGGAAATAAGTTTTTGAGGAGTAAATGGAAATTGAGTTGAATAATAGGATAGGATCAAATTTTAAAGGGCTTTTAAAGCCAGGCAGAAGTACTTAGACTATAATGTGGTAGAGAACTTTTGATCATTATGAAAGGAGTTACATAATGAAAATGGTAGTAAGTAATATGGGTTGAGTGAAACAGCTAGTCAATGAGACAAGCTAGAAGTCTGTTTTAAATAATCCAGATTTGTGATGATTAAGACCTGGACTAAAGAATAACAGTTGGAATGGAGATGATTCTAAGACATTTGGAAGGAAGGAACTATAGAATTTGGTGGCAGATTTGATGTGGAGGATGAGGGAAAGGTAAGTGTCAAGATGATCCTAAAATTTTTCTCCCAGATTACTGGAAGTGTGCCTCAAATAAGATTGGAATATATAAGAGGAGAAGTGAGAGGTCAGGACTGGCAACTGCTTTTTAGGTTGGTGAGTCATCATTGGTGAGTAGAGAAGTAGGGAAGGAAGCCAGAAAAAGTAGATGTTTTCCAACGATAGGAGTATTGAGAAAAACTGAGGACAGAAGAAACATCCTGTGGAGGCATACCTAGTTTTAGGACTAAAAGGGCAGAACAAGGAAAAAGAAGGGTCATGTTATAGGGAGAAACCAGAACATATAGGACACCAGGGAAGGAGTTTCAGAAGGGTTAAGATCCATTCTATAGAGAAGTAGAGGAGAACAAGGCCTGAAAAAGTCACTGTTTGACAAGATTTAGGTCTTACAAATATCTTGGAGAGGACACTTTAATAGAAGTTAATGTAAGTAATCAGTGAGGTAGAAAATGTTTTCAAGGTTTAGTAACAAAAGTAAGGAGAGAAGTTATATGGCAGCTAAAATAAAGGGCTTACAGCAAAGATATAAAACAAAAAGTTATTTAATATGTTTTATGTTTTCATTTTGTTTTGTGGGAACAGAGTTCCTGGAAAAGATGGGAGGAGATGGTAGGCTAGAACATAGGCGGAAGGGGTTAACTTTAGACAAGAAAAAAGAAAATTTTCTGAGCTGGAAGGGGAAGGTGAGACAGGTATAGAGACAATAACAGGTGACATGAAAGAAGATGAAAATTGGAATGCTCAGGCCACCTGGACTTGGACTTCTCCGTAAAGGATAAAATAAAATCGTGTGATGAGAATTGGGGAGGAGGAATAGGTGCTAAATGGGGGCTTAAAAGAACTTTACAGGTCTCTAGACCAACTTCCTCATTTTGCAAGTGAAGAAACAGTATTGTGGAGGGCAAATGACTTGCCCAAGGTCATTCAGGTAGTTATTGGCAGAGCTGCAACTTGAACCCAGGTCTCCTAATTAAGCCAGCATCTTTTACATAATTTGAACTTGTTTTCTGTCTCTAAATCCAGTTCCCTTTCCATTCCTCAATCTACCTGTGATAGCTGAACTTGCATTGAAGGCAAAAGTGAAGTTGGACATGGTGATTTTAGATAGGTTTAAGGAAAATATGCATGAGTGCCTTGTCATTTGTCATTATAAGTATCTTAGAACTTAAAAATGTAGAAGATGGAACTTTTTTCAGTCACATTTTGCATTGTTTTTGAACTACACTTCATCTTTGTAGATTAAGATACTTAAACTGATGTTACTAATGGTGCCACTAGATTGTTATGTAATATTATATTACATATTACTGAACTAGTAATAGTGAGACTTTATTATTTAGACCAGAAGATTTCTTAGTGCCCGAACTTCAAGCCACTGAAGAAGAAAAAAGCAAATTAGAATCTGGCTTGACAAATGGAGATGAACCTATGGATCAGGATTTATCAGATGTTCCTACCAAGTGCATATCTGCAACAGAATCAATTGAAATCAAGTAAGTGCCTCAGTTGTGTTAAGGAAGTTGGGGTGGGAAAAATGGTGGATATGAAAGAGAAGGCAAGCAAGTTTAAGAAATTAAGTGCAAAACATACATTAACTTTAAAGACTTGTGTTCTACTATTAATAAATATATATTACCTAACTCATTTATCTTGCATTTTCTCTTTTTTGCTGTAGTGCAACAATAGATGCATTTGTTTTTTAAATTGGAATGAATGCTTTGTTCTGTTTCTAAATCGATATTTTTGAGAAATATCACTGGCCTAGGTTAAGTAAAAATTAACTTGAGGAAAATAAGCTTTTATTACTTTGTACTTTGTTACAGAGCCAGAGTTACTTATATAGACTATGAAGGACGTTCAGATGGTGACTCCATTAAAAAAATAATTAATCAGATGAAACCACGGCAGTTGATTATCGTGCATGGACCACCAGAGGCCAGTCAAGATCTAGCAGAATGTTGCCGAGCTTTTGGTGGAAAAGATATTAAAGTGTATATGCCAAAGCTACATGAAACAGTAGATGCCACCAGTGAAACTCATATCTATCAGGTAATAATATTCTAGAGTTTGAGCTATGTAGAAGTAATGCTTTTTTGATAGAGAGAAAAAGGACCACTATCTTGATCTGAATGAAATAGTGTAGATCCTCATCACAGGAGAGTTTGGCAGTAATCTGTATATCAAGCCAGATTTTTAAAAATTATTGATATCTTATTTTTGCATCAGTTTTATTTCTGGATATGGATCCCTCTGTCTCCTCCCCTACCTAGGGAGCCATTCTTTATAACAAAGAATGAATGGGAGAAGTACTTCAGAAAAACTAACCACCATACCTCCTGAGTGTCATTGTATTTAGTGTTCCACACCTACAGTTCTTCTCCTCAAGCCAGATCTTTTAAAAGTTTAGCGTTTGAATTTTTGTATTTGTATAATGTGCATGTGTAGGGTTTTTTTTTAGGTGTAGATTTGGGAGCATATTTACAGTAATTATGTAGCTCAGTGTATAACAGTGTATTTAAAATTTCTTCTCTTAATTCTCTTCTCTTACCTGTCTTTTACTTTTAACAAAATCCTTTAACGTTTTTCTTTCATATTTTAGGGTATACATGTATATATTTTCTTCTCCCTCCTATCACCCCAAATGAGAAGAAAGTGCTAGTGTTTCGCATATATTAACAAGGACACAAACAGACATACTACTTATTAGGTTCAAGATTTCGAAGAAAATTAATACTCAGTTGATCTAACCACAAGGTTTATTAAATAATATACAAACCACACACTCCTACAAAAGGATCTAAGAAAATATTCTCATTTTCTTCACTGTCATCTTTGGCCAGAGGAAGCAAAGCAGTACAAGTAACTGCGCCTTGAAAGTCATAGCTATCCAGGCAAATAGCCTGACTACAGGCTGAAGTTACTAGGGGCTGTGAGGTTCTAGATTGAAGCTAGATCCTCCTGTCCAAGGGAAGCAAAGCCCTGCTTAGCTAAACAGCGGGGTTTATAGACTTCCTCTGGGTCAGGGTCTGGGTTCATGGACGTTCACAAATAATAGCTCGTTCTATCTTCATATCCTTTCTCTTGATAAAAGGAAATGATATAATTGTACTAAACCATCGCTGTTATGTAATACTAATACTTCATATGTAGTGCAGTTAGTAGGTCCACCTCTAAAGGTAGCAAGGTTATCAGTCTACTGTAGTCATTTATAGTCATCATTGAGACTGCTACTCGGCAAGGTCCTTTATTTAACCTTACCATCTTGAGGTCTAGGGGTATATTTACATATGTCTTCGTTAATAAAAGTTTCACATAAGTTTTTAATATACTTTTTTTCATAAGTATAATATTTACAAATATTGAATATCCTACAAAATGGTGTGTTTGATTTGCTAATATTAACATGTTCATTGGTTCTTTTTTTCTTTTCCGACATTCATTTTTTTCAAAATGTCCTATGTATGATACATATTTAGGTGAGATTAAAGGATTCACTTGTCAGCTCTCTTCAGTTCTGTAAAGCAAAAGATGCTGAACTAGCTTGGATAGATGGTGTCCTAGACATGCGAGTTTCCAAAGTAGACACAGGTGTTATTTTAGAAGAAGGAGAACTGAAGGATGATGGAGAAGACTCAGAGATGCAAGTGGATACTCCTTCAGATGCTAGTGTCATAGCACAGCAAAAAGCTATGAAGAGTCTATTTGGAGATGATGACAAAGAAACAGGTGAAGAGAGTGAAATTATTCCCACTTTGGAACCTTTGCCACCTCATGAGGTAAAAAAAAGTTTATACTGTCTCTCTTAATAAATCCTTCTGGTTTTTTCAACTTTATTTCCATTGTAGAGATGATTCTAATGATAATATTTATGAAATTTTGTGTCATGTGTATAAGCTATTAAGTATATTGCTCAAGGCATGTTCCTGTTAAGTTTTGTTTGTAAGTTGAATCATTTAAAAAAATCTGATCATTTTAAATGTCCTGGGACAGCCCTGTCCTTCATTTATGTTCTTCTGTGCAGTCACACCACAGTGCAGATACCCAGGGTTCTAGAAAGCCTTTCAGTACACAATGGAGAGTCATATGAAGTTCATCCCAACTAAGTTCAGAGAAGTTCATTTCTCAGTTTAGATATCAGGTGATGAATGTTTTTGGTGAGGAAACTTATAACACTGTGAAGACCTAGAGGGAGAATCCATGCTGATGAAATCATTGCTTTTGAATCTAAATTGTCAATATTTAAAGAAACTCTGTGGTAAATACTTTTTTGTACTGTGACTTATCATCTAATTTGTCTGCTTTTAAGTTGGAGTTTTACAGTACTGATTTGCTTAAGATTTGTTTAAAATGGAGGATCACCAAAATATATGTTAATAGGGAAATTTTGGTCATTTGCAAACTTGAATTTACCATCTGAACTTGCTAACTCCCGCCCTATGATATGTTGCCCTTGAATTTTACATGGCCTGAAATGCATCACTAAGAAAGATTAGCACCTGTTTGTTTGTTCCCTGAGTAAAGAGGCACCTTCATAATAATATGGAAAGACTTAGAGTTGAGACACCTGATTCTAATCCTTCCTTTAACACATTTTATTTGGGAATCCGTGGACAGATTATTGATTGACCTCTCTGAGCCTTTTCAATTGTTACCGCCATTGTAAAATCAGAATAATATCTGTAATATTTTGCCACGTGTTATGGGGATAAAGTGAGAATGTATTTAAAATGCTCTGCAAACTTCAAAGCTCCAGTTAAATGACAGTTCTTTAATCATTCAGCAAAACTTTATCAAGTACCTCCTACATCCTAAGCATGGTCCCAGGCATTGAAACAGACACAAAGTTCAGATAGGATATTATCCTTGTCTTTGTGAGGCAATCGAGAATGGAGATAAGATACGAAGATAAAAAATAATATATGATATTAAAAGTGCTTTAGTTTATTGTGAAACAATGCTGTGGAAAGTCTAAAAGGGAAATTTGTTATTGACTAGAGCAGGGAGTCTTAGGATCTGTCAACTTTAAAAACATATTTTGAAAACTATTTCAATAAACTTTGTTTCTTTGGTAATTCAACTTATTTTATGCATTTAAAAATATTCTGTGAAGGGGTCCATGACATGCACACAAAAAAGATTAAGTACCCCTAGAATATAGGGATCAGAGAAGGCTTCCTAGGCGTTTGAGTTGGGTATTAAAAAATGAGTTGGCTGTACTGTTTTTATCTTCCACTTACTGCCTTGTAAGATTTTGTGAGCACTCTGGATGATTTAACCATGGCACATTTTTAATCCAATGTAGCATCATAGCCTTTATTCTTGTATGTACCTCAAGTATTCTTCCTTTGGAATTGGGAGGAGAAATTGGAAGATCCTTTTTCCCCTTTTACCCCTCTGAGGGTAATACCTTCTCCCTGTCCCGTCCCACCTACCCTGCCAGCAGCACTTAGAGAAGTAGCTACAGGTTATATCGTCCTGATTCTGATAACCAGGGCATCCATATACTGTTTATCAGTCCTTTGAAAAGTGCCAATGTACTGTTAGCTTCATTGTGGAGATGGGACAGGAATTTGGAGAAGGGGAGTGGCAAATAATCTTTGAACCAGAGAAAATTCTGGGAACTTGAGGGTCTTTCAGTTCTGACTCCAGCTCGAATAGTGATACTCTGATTGGCCTTAGCTAAGTGAGTGAAGTTGAGGAGCTTAATAGAACCCTGGCAGGTGTATTAGTAATGAAACATGACTAATACAATTTATTGTAAAGTCACATTAAAATGTGGAGTTCTTTGTAATGTTAAGAAATAATGTAAAATTCAGAATAAAAGTAGGAAACATGAATTACTTTCTTGAAATCGTCTCTCAAATGGCTTGAGGGATTAATAGAAAATATCTGGGATTGTATACCTGGTATTTTGATTTTGATTTGCTTTTCCCCCTCCTTGTCTCATCTTTTTAAAGGTTCCTGGACACCAGTCAGTGTTTATGAATGAACCAAGACTGTCTGATTTTAAACAAGTTCTGTTGCGAGAGGGAATCCAGGCTGAGTTTGTGGGAGGAGTACTTGTTTGCAACAATCTAGTAGCTGTCCGTAGAGTGAGTGTTTCTGTAAGATTTGAAAATTTAGGAGGGGGTAAATCGAACAAAAGCTCTAGATCACTGAATTATCATGTCTTATATGCTCTTACCCAATCTTCGCAAATTATCTCCCAAAGTTGTTAAGTTAATTGATAGTAGTTGTTTCTAGAAATGATCTAAAAATATTGAAATTCAGTAAATGTTAAATAAGTGCCCACTGTGTGCTTGGCCTTATCCTAGGTTTCAGGAGCATTATCCGGAAACGGGAGGTTCAAAAGTAACCTTGACATAAATTCAGTTGAGGTTTTTTTTAATGTTTTATAAAACTAACAAACTCCTTTTTTTCCTTCTTTCTTAGACTGAAACTGGACGTATTGGACTTGAAGGCTGCCTTTGTCAGGATTTTTATAGGATAAGAGATCTTTTATATGAACAGTATGCTATTGTGTAGGGGACCTGTTGTCCAGAAGAATCTGTTTTCCCTTTCTGAGGAAAAAAAAGGAAGGGCTCTTCACCTTATTTTGTTGTTTTCCTTTGTTGTTCTATAATTTATACAGAGAGGACTAGTTAGGAAGATAATATTTTAAGCCCAAGAAATTATACTAAATAAGTGAAAAATGCAGACCATTTTGCTTAGTAAATCTTGAACATTCCACCTTTTTGATTTTCAGATTGATAAATACCATGACTATGGCTGTACATGCCCAGAAATTGACATTGTTGGTTTTCTTTATAGACAAGCCCACTTTTCTAAGCTGGCATTATTTGATTTTAACGGTAAAACTAGGCAAACAAGTTCTTGGACTCAGAGGGTATATGTATGTTCATAAAAAATAATTTTTACAGAGTTTGTGTAAATCAGTGTTTTGTGTTTTGTTTTTTTGTTTTTTTGTTTTTTTTAATTTCTCAGAATAGGAAAAAATGGGGGATTTTGAAATTAGGAAAGAACTGCTACTCAGAGTACAAAAGCAACTGTTTTGATAAAATGGACTTTTATAGATTGTTTAAATAAACAACAGCAACAAATATACTTGTACATATACTAGAACTCTTCCTCTAAACTCACTTTCACATCATACTTGCTCAGTACCTGTTTCAAGTGATAATTATTTTTATTGAGACAAAAAATCAGTTTTTAATGCTTTTTTTTTTAGGTATAAATACAATTTTGTCATTTGAATACAAATAGCACAAAAGGGTTATTTGTAGTGTGGTGTGTTAGAAATTCTGGTTTTAATGTTTTGTGAAAGAAACAAACATTGAACGTCATTTTTTTTTTTAAACAAAGTAATACTATGGTTAAAAATAAATGTGTTTTTATCTCTTAGGTCTGCATGCTTCTAAGACCCCTAAGCAGCATGTAGATGATGTGTGTCAGCACTAAATTACTACATAGGAGGCTAACTCCCTCCAAAACCTTAACTTTTTTGTGTTTTATAACTTCCTTGTGTTTGTCACAAGATAACCAAAAGGAAATGCAGTGTACTTAGTTTACATTGAATTCAGATCATCTCATTAAAGAAAAACCATGTAATCTGGTGAGTTTTTGTAGGAAGTGACATAATTGTGACAGACTTTGGCATTTATTTCATAAATTCAAAATCCACATCCTGTTTCTTACACTTAGCACTTTAGATTGATGGGTTTCTCTTAAAATAAAGCTGATCAATTTCATTTTCAGGTATTTATAGAGCCACTCTGAAGATTCTTACTGCTAACGTAAAAGCAACTGTGGTATTTATGAACCAGATAAATTGTATTACTAGTGTTAATGTGGATAAGCACATAGATGAACACTATTAGTACTTTAAACAAAAATCTTCCCCGAGATTTTATTCCAGTACAGAATAATACTGGGACTATATGTCTTGGTTAGAGTGGCTGATAATTGCATCTTTCATTGTAATACTGAAAACTTGTTTCTTGCCTAATTTTTTTTTTACCTGACACATTCCATAAGTATAAATTTCATTTAAAATGCTGCTAGAAGCTGTTGTGCAAACAAATACCATTGCAAGATTAGTATTTTTTTAACCTGTTTGGCTGGCAAGGTTAATAAAATTTCTAAAAAGGTTTCATTTCCATGTCCATGAAACTTTATTCTCAGTTGTTACCCAAATAAATTGTGGCTGTAAAACATACACACACATCTAGACTTACGTATTTGGTCTAGACCTGAGATTTCATTTGATATAGAGAACTCTCTGTGTGAAAACTTTCTCTACCAAACTGTTATCTACCACTTGTGGTCTTTGCTGTTGCCTGGGACACTTAAAGGTTACTAACCTGAAGTCACACAGTTAGTATGTATCAGAGGCAGAAATTAAACTCATTTTCCTAATTCTACAGCTAACTCTATCCACTATGGTATGTTGTCCCTAAAATAAAAAATATAAATAATTTTGAGATAGCTCAAATTGTATTTAGTAAATTCAGAGGAACTGTCAAAATTATTGTGCTATGTACACAATTCCTTTGTTGTATTCATTGTACTTTTGAAAGAAATGGGCCAATACTGTGTTTTGGTTTTTTTTTGTTTTGGGTTTTTTGGGTTGTTATTGTTGCACAGAGGTGGCAATTGTTGTAAAGGGTTTTAACTTTTATTGGATTGAACACATTATAAAGAAAGCTTCTGTATAATAAAGTTATTTCCATGTCCTAGTGGATGGCCTGTAATAACCAGGTTCCTTTTGAAACCAACTCTATAGGATTTAGAGTGATGAGGTGACCTTAGGGATCATCTAATTCAACTCCCTCATTTTATAGATATACTAATCCAACCCTCTCATTTTAGAAATGAGGGACCAGAAACTCAGAAAAGGCAAGTGATTTGCTCAATGTTATACAGGCAATAACTGGCAGTTAGGATTTGAACCCAGATCCTCTGATTCTAAAACCAACCTTTCTTTTTCCTTGCAGCTACTTCATAGGGAAAACAATGAGTAGGTTATATACAAAAAGCAACTTAAAGTTATAGAACTTTACAATGAGAAGGGATTTTAAAAATAATCTAGCCTAATTCTTTCATTTTAAAGACTGAGGCTCAGAAAATTTAGTTGACTTGCCAATCAGTCAAGAATTTATGAAATGCCTGTTTTGTGGTAGGCACTGGAAATAGAAATACAAAGGAGGAAACAATCCCTACTGTTAGAGAGCTTGTATTCTAGTGGGGAAATGTGTGTGTGTGTGTGTGTGTGTGTGTGTGTGTGTGTGTGTGTTTGGGAGTGAGATTACTAGGCTTTATTCAGAAGACTATAAGATGGATGTTAGGAGGGAGTACTGGCCTGTGGGACAGTCTGGCTTAGAAATGGGTGTTGGGATGAAACAGGAGATAAATTGGGCAGGATCACAGAGTGCAGGAGAGGAAATAATGCCCAGGGAGAACAGAAGGATGGGTTAGGGCCTGGTTGGATATGTCTTTAAAAGTAAAAGAGTGTTTCTTTTGTTGTTTTGTCCTTTGTTCTGGAAGAGGACCATGACATCAGGAAGATGATACCATTGATGCTGTTTGGGGTTGTTGGGAACCCCAAAATGTCAGAGTACAGAGCAGCGTCCACCTGAAATGAATTCAGGCACTCTAACTTTCCAGTCTAGGGGCAGTTTGTTGTAAGGCCGATAGGAATCTGCACCTTGAAGGGGTTGAGATTGATACTTGTATACAAAAAAGGAACAGTGAAAAGATCTGGATAGGATTAAGGAATGGTAAGTAGTCTGGGGTGGGCCAGGTGAACTAGTGAAAGGAATATCAAGTAGGCTAATTAGGTGATTCATATGGGATTAAGGAGTGGTGGTATTTGCAAGTAGTCTGGGATGGGCTAAGAACAACTGCTAAAGGAATGTCAAGTAAGCTAATCAGGTGTTCTAAGAGTGCTGGGGTGGGCCTTGTTCCTTGGCTAGACACCAGTGATCTGGGCTGCTGAAATCTGAGAAGATTCCAGGAACTGAGTTGCTTTCAAAGACATGATCTTTTCCTTTTAGGGGTCCAAGGCCTGTCACCCCATTACTATGATTTGCAAGTGAATTGGATTTAAGTGAAGGAGGGCTGTGCAAAGTTACCTGCCTCACTCACTTCTCCAGAGCCATCTGGGTCCAGTGGCCAGATATAGATCAGGACTACAGGAGATAACCCCAAATGCAGTGGGAAACCTTGACCTTTCTAAGCTCAGAGTTCTCACTTTGAAGCAACACCCATTCAGTGATTAAGGTTGGTTGAGAAGTGAGTCAAGGAATGACCTCTTTAATGGGAAAAAAAGAATCTTTTATCCTTGAAGGAATAGGAAGCCCCTGGAGTTGATTGAGTAGTGGAGTCATGTGATCAGATCTGTCCTTGAAAAGCACTTCGGCAGCAGTGTCAAGTCAACAAGTTTATTAAGCACCTACAGCTGCTATTTATTAATAAGCACAGTACTGGTACTGTGCTGAGCACTAGAGATACAAAAAAAAAGTCAAAAGATAGTCTGTGCTCTCAAAGAGTCCACAATCTAATGGGGAAACAGCATGCTGAGAGACAATTCCAGGCATGGGGGACAGAAATTGAAAATACACAGTTAAGAGATGACATGTGTGAAGAACAGCATGGAAACAAGTGATACTGGATAGTAAGTATGTGGTAGAGAAAAGATGTAAGAAAACTGGAAAGTAGGAAGGTATGAAGAGCTTTAAAAGCCGAACAGAGTTTTATATTTGTTCCTAGAGGTAATGGGTAACCTCTGGAGCTTATTGAATGGCCGTGGTGATGTGGTGAGACTTGTGCTTTAAAGTTCCATTTAATAGCTGGATAGGAGGAACAAATCCTGGGAACAATATGTGAAAGAAAATTATGACGAAGCAACATAAAATTTTTGGGATGCAGCTAAAGCAGTTGTCAGGAAAAATCATATCTTTACAAACATCCATTAACAAATAGAAAAAAAGGATTAATGAACTGAACTGAATACACATTTTAAAAAATTAGAAAATCAAAAAATAAACCTAAATTATGCACAAAAGAGGACAGATGATAACTAGATAAGAAGTAAATGCAAACAAAAATATGAGAAAACTGGAAGCTTGTTCTTTGAAAAAATTAATAAAATTGATAAAGTTAGCTAATGTAGTTTAAAAAGGAAGAAAATCAAACCAATGAAATAGCAAATGAGCAAAGTAAAATCACAACAAAACCAGAAGAAATGAGTAATCTGTGGTCACATTGGTTTTGCTGACTCCAGGGCTGGTGCTCTATCTGCCCTGCCTCCTAATTCTCTTAGTGATCTGAAGGTGTTTTGTTTTGTTTTGTTTTTTATATGGCAGTTGATAGTTTTGCCTTCTTTTGGCAACTGTCTATTCATATTCTTTGACCATTTGTCTATTTCAAAATGGTTCATATATTTGTGTCACCATCCTATTTATACCACTTTAAGGTTTCCAAAGATACATTCTCTCTCTCTCTCTCTCTCTCTCTCTCTCTCTCTCTCTCTCTCTGTCGCTCTCTCTCGCTCTCTCGCTCTCTCGCTGTCTCTCCGTGTCACACACACACATACACTCACACACAGTGCATACATGTATCCATATCCATATATAGACATCTATCTATATATAAATATACTCTTGTTTGATCCTTACAATGATCCTGTGAAACAAGTGCTATTATCCCCATTTTATAGATGAGGAAACCAAGGCTGAAAGAGAGGTTTTTGACTTGCCCAGGGTCACATGGCTAATAGGTATCTAAGATAGGATTATGGACCCTGGTCTTCCTGGCTACAGGTTCAGTGTTCTATCCACTATGCTGTCTCTATATCCTAAGTATCAGATCTTTCTCAGAGAAATTCACTGCAACAATTTCCCCCCATTTAACTGTTTCCTTTCTAATTCTGACTGCATTGATTTTGTTTGTACAAACCCTTTTCAGTTTTATGGTAATTTCCATTTTTAAAGGGATATAGCCTAGGTGCACTGAAACTGAATCCATTAATCATCCTTAATGTGATGTCAGTGGAACAAATACTCAAGGCAATGAGGGTTCATAACCTGTCAAGGCAACAATTAA